CACCTAGCTCCTCGTCAAGTTGTTGCTTTCGTGAAACTTCTTGACCAGGTCGGGCTGATTGTTGTGTTGCTGTGGTAGTGGTGGTTGCAGTGGTACCTTCTAGAGTTGCTGCGCTCGCTGCTCGAAGTTCGGCAGCGCTGCCAAACGACAGCACCCTTCGTAGTCCGGACTTTCCAGATTTGCGGAATCCCCTTTTTGATAATTCTGTCAAGCGCTTTGTAGCTGGACTCTGGAGATTTGGCTGTGGAGGTGATGAGTGCTGTTTCTCGGCTGGAGCAGATGGCTTAGGGGGGAAATTAGTTATGGGCTCTGTTTTCGAAGCTTCAGAGCCCATGTTCAGCGGTTGGGATAAAGGAGATGGATTCGTGAGACGTTTCGGATTATCAAAGACTTTGTAATCTAGTTTTAGTGTGGTAGGTGATGAGACTGCGGATGAAGTTCGTTTTCCCTAGATAGTAGTAAACGTTGGCTGAATGAACGTGATTGGGGAGGGGGAAGGAGGGTGTGAATGGTTGGATGGTAACCCACAGTTGGGGGAGATGATCTGGTAGATGCAACACTTTCAGTGCTACCCTTGTGCGCATGGGAGTAAACATTAGCTGAAGGAGCATTTGCTGAGTGAGGGCGTCGCAGATTGTCTGGCATGGATAAGTCCTCCGGGTTTAACCTAGCTGTAGGTTCTGTAGATGTTTTCGGCGGAGCAAAGTTCGTCAAGCCTTTCGTGTCCAAGCTGCCCAAGCTTCTACGTCTATATCGCTTCGCTAGTTCTGTGGATTGAGGCTTTTCAATTAATAGTGCATCATCCACACTGGCACCTCTGAAATAATGTGGGCCTGTGGTATTCTGACTTGTACCAGGAGAAAGGTTTGGATGTGACAGTCCATTTGCTACAGAGGGTGAAGCGTTCCCTGGGCTATTCTGGACTTGATTTGTTTGCCCGACACGTCGTTGGCCTCGACGGTAGCGATCCGGGGAGGGTTTGGCGGACGTCGATGTTGACGAAGGAGAGACTGAGTGAAGAGTAAATCCAAGTGAAGATAGCGGGCGAGCCGTAGACTCCCCTGTCCGTTGTCTCGTGGGGATGGCAGAGTCGTCTTTCGAACCGTGCAAAGTGACGGAAGAAATGGTGGAAGAACTGGATACCGGACTAGTAGCAGGGAAATGCACTCGTGAAGGGATTACACCTGGGAAAGTTGGGTTTGCTTGAGTCTGGGGGGCAGACGCTGCTCTATATTCAGGCTTTAGAAGAGGGGGAGCATTCTTGCCTGTGTTGGTCAGACTAGGGGTGCTAGTGAAGGCGTATGGAGCAACTGGCTGGACAGCCTGTGAAGCCCTATAACCGGAGCCATTTCCCAAGGTATTATTATGTGAAGCCCTCGTAGGCCCCTGCTGGTTTCGAGCCATTTGTGGAAGTTGTTGAAGACTGGAATGTGAGGATGAAGGAAAGGCAGCTGTGGAGGAGGATGGGCGAGGCTGCAGCAAGGTGATGGTACTAGACTGCTGGGGGATTGTCTGTACCAGTGCAGCCATGGTTGAGACTCACAGCGTTCTATTGCACGGAAGAGGAAACGTTGTAATGGGGGGATTTTCTTCTTTTCTACTAAGACAAGGGGGTATCTGGTTGTGGAAAGAATAACACAATGCTAGCCAAATGTCTACCACCACACCACACCACACGGCACGATACGACGCGACAAGACACGATTTCTTTAATAGAAACCCACAAGGAAAGAGAGAGGCCAAGTTGGACAAATCTACAACGGAGCAATTGAAAAGGTCAGCAATCACATGTTCAGGGAAGAGTAGAAGAGAATCTTGACGTGAAAGTTCGGGTGAGCTATTAGTGAATATAGACTGGGGGAGGATGAGGATGAGGATTGTGCGATCTGGTACAGGAATAGTTGATGTTGTGGTTGTGGTCGTTTCCTAAAGCCACCTAAGGTCCGTTGGACTGGTACAAAAAGGGGAAGTTTTTCCCGTGGACGGGTCCCGAGGAGGTACGCACCAAGACCAGAATTGCAATGTATATTAAACAAACGATCAGAATGACGCGGGAGAATGACGGACAATTTAGAATAAGGTTGAGGTCGAAGCGTTAAAATGAGTGAAGACGGATAGGAGAGAGAGCGACGGAGGGAAGCGGTGCTGAAGAGGTGGAGTTCGAACGAAGATAAGGATGCGGATGAGCTAATTAAAGGAGGCAATGAGAGAATTGAACCAAAGACGTTAGGTTCGGTAAGCGAGGAAGAAAAGGAAGAAGAAGATAAAGAAAAAAGGAGAAGAAGAAGAAGAAGAAGGGAGAAGAAAGAAAAAGAAGAAGAAGAAGAAGAAGAAGAAGAAGAAGAGAGCAGAAGAGGATAGGACAGAACAGGATAGGTCAAGCCATTTGAGGTGGTTGGATGGTGGAATCAAAGAAACAGGCAAGATATCAACAACAAACAAGGAGAAGGAATGAAAGGGAAGAAGAGTGTTTCAGTGGTCCGATTCCTCCAAGGGTAATGTTAAAAGGGAGGATGGGGGATATGGTGACAGAACGCCAACTTCGTGAGGCTGAGGAGGAGAAGAGGAAGAAGGAAAAGAGTGGAGTGGAAGAGTGAGTGGAAGAGTGGAAGAATTTGAGATCGAGGTTGAAGGTTGAGGTTGAAGGTTGAGGATGGAAGTTCTGAGGTTGAAAGCAGTGAGGGTTGAAAGGACAAAAGAGAGAAAGCAACAAAACCGTAGAGGCTAAGGGAGGGAATTGTCCAGGAAAGGAAAATTTAAGGACGGCGTGCGATATAATATGGTAAGGTATGGTAAGGTAAGGTAAGGTAAGGGATAGCATCGGACGGGCGACCAAAGGTACGAAGATACCAGATTTGCTGTGAAGTTCTATATATTCCGATGTTCCTCTATGAAACATCCCACCGCTGAATGGCATATTACGTGGACCTCTAGACTGGTATCCAGATTAGACTTATGCGCCCTGCACCTGCACAGCACCTTGCACACGCACAACATGGCTTACTTAAGCCACAGGTACAGTCACCGGCCCATGTCTTAGTTACCTAGTTTAACTGACTACTCCGAGGTTGATACACCGGTGATACATACAGTACAGTACATGGCACTTAATTAATTAAGGGGGAACACTGCTCCAGCAGTCCAAGGGCTGTCTGTCATTTCAATCCGAAGGGCCACCTTAAGATTCAAGAAGAACCGAACACTTGGAACTTGGAAAAGAGCACATGAATAGTGGAGATACCTTAATTAGAGAATAGGAGAATGTGATAGCTGGAGTATATTGCTGTCTTTTTATTATTAGTATCAGAGTTAGGTAACTAGTTAACGTTGACATTAACTGGTTATGGTATTCTTATTACATCATCCTCGGTACTAGTTAACTGACTATTAAACTAGTTAATTTACTATAACTGAATAATTGTGGTGAAAAGGTTACTTGAACCCCCTCGGAACAGGGCAGGGTTTGAAAGGGATTTTTTGAGAGCCTCGTGCGGTTCAACATTTCAACATTTCAACCAATTATTCTTCCCCACAGGGCATCGCACCCCAGTTCCTCTGGTTCAAGACATGCCGAAACAAAATTAGCTAACCACATCCATGGATCCCCCTGGGTAACTTATAACTAACTTTAACTTCTAAGCTCACACCCCGCAATTGTGGTCACCCTGCTGAGGCTGTATTGTGATGCATTTCCATCCACCTACTAACTACCTCTTATTCTCTTAGCTATTTATCTACACACTACAATCCATCTATATCTATGTACACATCACCCGGTCCTCAACCGTTACAGATCTCTCTTCTTCTCTTCTCAGAAACGGGAGGGGAAATAATAGTCAAGGGGGTTGGTTGCATTGTTGCTGCAACCCGCGCATCACAAATGCAAGCTTGCTAAAGTGTCCGTTGGTACTTGTGCCTTAAGGGAATAAAACGAACTCGGCTTGCAGTTCTTGTGAACGTCCCCGACTGACCACACTTATTATTACAGGGCTGCCTGGTGCATTATTATTAATGATCATCATTGCCCGGTAGGGTGTTGATGGATGACAACATCATCTTCCTGATTTGACTGTATATAGATCCTCAGCTGCCCTAAAACCATCTGGTGAATAAACCAGGGACGAGATCTGCTTGGAGATGCTACAGATGGAAAATACACAACTGCCGCAGCCTACAGGATTAGGTACCATTAGGCATATTGATGATATGATATCGAGGTCCGAAATATAGGGATCATCACTCCGAACTCCAACCGTTGTTCTCATTCTAAATCTCTTCCTCTATTCTCTTCGCTTCTTCCTGGAGTGAGAATGAATAACCACTTGAAAATTAAGTATACCTGCCCCCTTTTCTATTTATTCACAGTATTCCCTATCTCCGCATTATCTCTAAAGACACCGTTTGCCAGGCATGTGCCCCCATACGATGTCCAGGTGTGTTCTCCCGGTTCCGATCGACGAAGGCAACCCCTCGCCCACTCGTCCCCACTACCCCTGTCCCCTTCACCTCTTTCCTCTCGCCGCCAACCGCTCTCCATCAACCCTCCATTTGATTATTGAGGAGATAAATAGATTTACAAGTAGAAAGCAAATTAGCTGAGTGACCACAACTTCGGAGTATATAATCTAAAAATCACCTTCTATTAATGGAGAGGTAAATGGGGTAGCGATAAGCGACATGCCTTGCAAGTAGGCCCTGAATGTGAGGCACAAGGGGCGTGGTTTCGTATCCCACCTTCACTTTTTGGTACCATGGTATTCGTCCCGGGAAGGAGTGGCTGGTGAATCGAAAAGTACATTCATACTTGACAGGATTAGGGCACATTCAACTTGTTTCTATTGGTTTTTCGTGTATAGATGATTCAACCACTGGAACTAGGTTTTTGGGACTTTTCCTAGTTAGTATAAAATCAGTCCAGAAGGAAGATGAGTAATCATTCAGGGCTTGGCCAGGGCTCAACTTTTAATTCTTATCTGGACTCTAAGATCTTAATATTAGAAGTATTTTGCTTAGTTAAATAACTATATATTGAGCATACATCGTTTACGCAGTTCTTTTTTTAGTGCCATATACAAATGTTGGTGCCAGTCGGGCTATCATTCTCTCTTCTGATTGAATATAGCCAAGAAAAAATATAAATAACAATTACAACAACAATAATAACAATAATACCCTCTATTAATACACTCTAGTCAACCAAGCCCATATCTCCCTGAAACAGGAGTCAAGAAGCAGGGGGTGGCACGCAGGAGTTTTAAGTTCAACGGCACCAAAAAAAGAAGGGGGACGGATCAACTTCTAAAATAAACAACCCCCCCCCCTCTTTGCAGTTCAACAAAGGAAGAAAGGATCTACGGAGTGAGCACCACTCCTCCACCATTCCCCATCCGGTCATAGTATTACCTCGTTCTCCATGGGAGAGACAACGTCGTAGCCCACGGGGTGTCCCGTGCGTTGGAAAGATCCGTCCATCCATCCGTCCGTCCATCCGTCCCCATCTCTGCACTGAAACGATGGTGTTTATGCTGTTGAATTTCAATACGAAAAGGAAAGGTGTGGATTTTTCTCTCTCTCTTCCTTCTTCCCAGCTGAGAACAAGAAACGAAAGTTTATCACCAAAATAAGAAAATATTGAACGGATTGAACCCATTTTCGGTATAAATTTAATTATGAATAGCTTTTTTTTTTAAGGTGTTGCGTTATCTGTCGTTGTTCCATGATTCTATGACTGGACGATGATATCATAGTATTCTATCCATGGATAGTTTTTGGATTTAATTACCATGTGAGGTTGCGTTAGGGTTGGTGATTTCTAACAGGAACAATAATAATGACAGTATCATAAAATAGAAAGTTTTAAATAAAATTTTGTTGTCATTGTCAAGATTACTTGCGTTTTTTTTTTTTTTTTTCCTTTCCGTAGAGACAAAAACCAGACGTATTTGTCACGTCAAATCGCCCCGGTTTAATGACGTGACTCGTTCATAGTTTCCTGACTTGATGTTACCACTTCTTCAGCTACTCCTTAGTATACCCACCTGCCCGTGAAGGACGAAATTGCCCAGATGCAGATCAAGAAGTCGCAGTAAAAAAGGGGGTTCATTTGAGCCACCCTTTGATGATATTGAACATTATATGGCTTTTTCTGCTCTGCAAAGGTTAGGTAGAAAAGCTGTATATTCTGTGCTAAAGCTTTCAAAGACCCGAAAGGACAACTATGCGCCCAAAATTGTGCAGTCCTGTCCTCGCGTAGTATCGCATTTCCGACGAAGAAGTGAAATTCTAGCGGCAGTAACTTCTGCTCCATGGTATGCATGAAGACCCATGAGAGAAAGTTTATCAATATGTATCATCTCTTGCCACCATATCTCGCGAAGATTATTTAACGTCGAATCCAACACCCCGCGTTGGAATAATACAAACCATCTACACCCCTTTGCTCCCTTGAGTGTCTCTCTCGCACCTCCACTTTGGAGGGGAAATGGAAGCATCCATGCACATCCCCCCTTGGCTTAGATTACAGCACCGTAACGCTTTGCCAGCCTACTCTGAAAGGAGATTTTACCGCTGTGGTGAAAGAGGAGCGCCTGCACCCAGTTGTCATTAATGATGCAAGTCGCCCGAACGTCCCGGAGATTGACAGTCTTGTTCCGGGACTGGGGTGCGATGAACTTCACCGTGCCACTTGCGCCGGGGGGGAGTTGTTCAGCCCGGCCAAGGGTAGAAGATTTGGTATAAGGAGGTGGACCAAAATTTGTAGCATTCATTGAAGTGTTCATGGCCACCAAAGGCGACGTTGTTTTCTGAGTTCGACTCGGAATTATCCCCGTGACCGAGCAGTGATATCGTTTCCGGTCGGTATGAGCCTCAAGCATCTTTAGGCAATTCCCAGTGATGACGTCCCATATCTTCGGGTTCTGGTCTCTGCTGATGCTGATAAGTAAGTTTCCGCAAAACGTTAAAGTTGGCCTTAAGGTGGTTCTAAGTTTTGAGCGCATTTTTGAATTCCCTGGCTTTGGGAGCAAACGAAATGATACAAACAGTCAACAATGAGGAGATTTGAGAAGCCAATTCAAATTTCATAATGTAGTTATCAGAACAGAGTATGATGACTGCTAGGGAGCATATAGTAATAAATTTAAAATAAGTTCCTTTCAGCTGACCACCAAAGACTACTTGATTTGATTGAGCATTCAACCAAAAAATAAATATAAATAAATAAAAATAAATAAATAAATAAAGTATAACGTGTTCTAGCCTCGAATTCAACAAGGTTTGCCAGGTGATGATTTCGTGCTCAGTTCTCAAAAAGTAGAAAAAGAACGAGACGGGGAAAGAATACTGAGTGGAAGTGACTGTTTGAAGTATGACAGGAGTTCAGAGAGTGAGTAACGACGAACATTTCTTAAAATAGAGTAGAAGATAAAACTGGGGAATTCCTTGATGCGCAGATTTTCACCCCTTTCCATCTAACCAGAGGTTTCATATGGGAACTGTGAAATTGGTCTACGATTCGACAATGCACTTGCTAAACACTGCGGATCATGTCCCTGTGCCTGCAGGATTTCCCTTAGGGGGCATGTCAGTCTGCTTCATGGAAACTGCAAAAAGCAAAGAAGGGCAGCAAAGGGAAGAGAAGTGTGAAGAAATTGTGAATGTGAACGGATAACGATGGAAAGAAAATTTTCTACATGGTGTTTGCTTCCTACAGGATACTCTGAATGTGGTTTCTTAGATTAATACTCAATGTAGTCGTCGCATAAACCAAGGGCGATCCAAGCACAGGTTAGACGGTTTGCATAAATGTGTTCTCAGCCTTGCAGGCTAGATTGCAATATCAAAATCCTCTTGCATAAAAGCGAGCTTGATTGTTTCGCTTCTGCTGTTCACTTTTCAAACCTCGCACAGATCGGCTAGTCCGGGTGTGCTGGGACCAGAGTATATTGGATTCTGGGACTTGGAGATGGTATTGTGACATTTTACTTATCTGAACCGAGGGTTAATTGTGCTTCAGAGTATCCCTTTTCGCATCCTGTGCTCCTCATCCTGAAGAATCTTAGGTGTGCCCCAGATGTTGGAACATGAAACCGGCGAGTTCCTTAGACAGACTTAAGATAGTTGTGAGGTTACTTTGCAAAGAAACCTATAAAATACGTTTACCTAGTCTGTCGGTAGAAGGAATGTGAATATCAAAGTGCTTCATCGACATGTTCATTCTGGTATAATTAATTAAAGAAGAGAAAAGAGATAAAAAAAAAAACCATGTCAAGATCAAGTGGAAACGATAAACAGAAAGCCCCCGGTTGCATTACTCAGCATCGCATTTATTTCCCCGCGTTTTCAGGTGGTCTCCACGCGGCTTTTTCCCTTGGCAACCACGGGAGGTGACGTCAGCAGCGAATGGACGCAGAAGCCCAGCCCGCCCAAGCCACATGATATGAAGTTGAAGACAAAAACTGACCGAATGTCTTAAACGCTTGAACCAGCCAACATCAAACTCAACAACACTACTTATCAAAGCAATACGAAACCATCGCTGGCTTTGATCTTCATCAACACTCCATTGATTGCATCTCGTGGAAACTCTGGGACTATCTCAGCTGATCATATTGATATTCCAGTCATGGATCATTTTTTTGTCATTTCTGTAACTCCTCTCTTTGAGAGTTATAGAGCAAGTAGCTGCAGTTTCTCAGAATTCCCGTCCAGTATGCTTCCACGATCTCAATCTGTGCTCTGGTCCGGATCTTCCAGAGGGGGCCTTTGGAATTGGGTTGTTTATCAAATAGGCAACGGTATCTGCTGGTTTCTATAGGGAACATAATGTGCCTACACAGGGTGGCAGTATTCTCGTGTGGCGACCAGGATGTAAGAATAATTGTGAAGCTGACTGTGCTATTCCAACAGGAATATCACAACATGTTGAGAGTCCGTGTTCAAAGTGTAGCAGGAGTTCCGGGTTGCCTTTGAATAGAATTGAAATAGCGATCTCTGTGGATACCGAAGTCAGAACCTACCCTCCCTTGGATAGAACGCACAGTCTGCTGTTGCATTTGCCAATTCTGTCGAGCAGCAGAGTTGCAGTGAGACACCTACAGTTCACCCGGAAATTTTAACTACGATGGAAGATGATATTAACATTGATTATGGCTTGCCGCTGGAGTTACGACCTCTTAAGGCATGTGATGGAAGAGTATTTAACTCCATTCACCGACACCCTAGAAAGCAGGATTTCGTCTTCACTGCTTCCACAAACTCCTTAAAATCGTCCTACACTTGAAACCTCGATATCAGGGTCTCCATCGACTGTCTTTCAGACATGCACTTCGAAATCCCCGAAATCTGCCTATTCTGAGCTGCCGAATGTTGTAAATCTGAGCGCTAATACTCAAGATGAGTTCAAGACAGCCTTCCATAATAGGCCTATTTCGGTTCGGAGTGCGACTTCCACCCTGGGTACTAGTGATTATACTGGGTACTCGGGTTTTTGCGTCATGCACTCTGATCGCGAAGAAGAGACCACCCCTTGCCCCACACCTCGCGGTAAGCCATCGTTGGACTGTGTTTTCGAGATTCTGGACACGAACTTCCCCTGGGACACCGACATCATAATAGATTTTTTTGATGTATCCGATTTTCCATTGTCTATATCTTCAATCCTTCAGCCAGATCTCCCCAAAGAGGCCCCTCTGCAGCTGGATAAGTATGATTTTGATGAGCCCCACAACCTTTTACCAGACCCATTGTTGCCTCTGGGGCCATGTCACCAGGTAGGTATCACCAATTTGGAGAATGACATGATCTCAGAGGCGTCTCCTGCGAATCCCACCTTCAAAATCCTCTCGGAACAAAAAACCATTGCTTTCACGAAACCGTTCCTTGCGAAATCTATCCGCTAGAAAGGCTAGGGATCTTCAGAAAAAATCTACGCCTTCAATCGAGAAAGAATATTCCTGTCGAATTACGAGGTCATAAATGCGGGTAGGCAAGAAACCTGCCATTGATGAAGGAGGAAACGGAAACAAAAGCCCCTCGCAAGCGAAAACACATACTTTTCTCCACCAATCCAGGAAGAAGAAGTATCTGAAGATGCTCATAAACTGTCTGCCATGATACCGAACTTACCAGCGTCCAAGTTCAGTGCTATGGTTAATAAACTTCCTGGATTTTCAGTTTCTTTCCTACGGGTTGTTTGAAAGGACAGAAAAGTATAGGTATATTTTTCTTTGCTCTCTTTTTTATTTCAGCTTTTCTGTTTCAATTGTTTGGCTTCTCTTCATCAGAGAAAACGGTACACTTGTTCGACACTGTGTGTTTGTTCCTGTTGCACCATCACCACGGAAATCTTGGGGAAATCCTACCTAGTGCCAGACGGCATATCGCAGACTCGTGTTCATCTACCAATGGCTTTTTGATGTGTGGTCTGGTTACCTCTGCCTCTCTTTCCAATCAATTTCAAGGGAGTTTCAACCTTGAAACAATGGGAGGCAGGCTGCCATAGTGCAAGTTCAGATACTTGTTTTGCTTTTTTGTTTGCTATCGATGTATTCGATTTTCTTATGACCTGAAGTTCACGTATCTATTAAAATATCACGGAAGGGGAAAGGGAGATTACATTGTTTGCCCAAAAGGGTGGATGATATCTGCGTTTGAAGGCAGTGTCGACGAGGGATGTGTGCGGGATTTCTTCTAAAAAGGTCTTCAAGAGGGTGATGGTTACGAATGCTAGTTGTAATGTTACGTTCAAATTCTACTGTTTTTAAATAACCTGCGTGAAGACATCTGGAAGATGATATATCTAAGTAGCTCAAATTAAAAACGAGCAACAAGACAAATAGATCGATCGCCTTTGGGTGGAGTTTCATTTCGATGCATGTATTATCTATCCATTGTTAATTCGTTGCACTTCATATTTTGCTATAAAGCCGGAAATAGCTATCCTCCCGCCATCCATCCATCCGTCCTGCAAATTCTTTCATTAAGTCATTAGAGCTGCAGCTCAAAATCTCCCCACCCCATCCTCATCCTCATCACCATCATCCATCTCCATCTCCATAGTATCCATATCTTCATCCAACCCCTCAAACACCATAAACTTCTCCCCACTCGCTTCCGTCTCCTCCGGCACCACATTACCATCCTGCACCTCGCAATCCTTCAGCACAGACTCGCGCCCAATCTTGCTGCGCCGCCCAATAATGCACCCAGTCAACTGACACCGCTCACCAACCACCACCCCATCCATCAGCAGACAGCGTGTCAACCGCGCCCCCGTGGCAATGTGGCAGTTGGCGCCAACAACGCACTCCTTGATCACGCACTTCTCTTCCACGGTCACATTTTCGGCGATCAGGCAGTCGGCTTTGGTGACTGTGCAGCGCTGCGCGATGCCGGCAGGATGGGCTATTTTGTTCGTGTGGGCAAAGGGGGAGGCCGATTCGCGGCCTACTTCGCTGATTGGGTCGAGTTTTGCGAGGCGGAGGGAAATGGAAAGGAGGAGGGCGGAGGAATCGACACGTCGGATCAAAGGGGATGAAGGATGGAACGGCTGCACATAGGCGAGGATTGGGGGGACAATAAGTTTTTCTGGGACGCTTGGTTTGGAGGTGGTGGAGGTGATGATATCTTCGTGTAGAAAGATGAAGGAACGCGAGGAGGATAAGGGTGGTCGAGCCTGGCTGAGGGTTTCGCTGCTTCCGTCTGGGTTCACATTGGAGTAGGTGCCCGATTTTGTGGTGGACATGGCTGTTAGGTCAATTTCTTTTTCGACGCGCCCTTCGTCATGCGGGTTTCCGACCCCAAATCCGCGGCTGTCGTTATCCTGGTTGGAAAAGACGTCTCGTAGACCTAGCTTTTCACCCAGACCCTCTTGCCATTCCGCCTTTGCCCACCAGCCTATCAAGTCTTCGCTGACGCTTTCGAATTTCTCGTTTCTTTTGGCCATATCTTTCACCCAATACGGGAATAGGTAGATGTGAGCGTCACGGTAGGTCGTCAGCAGTTTTACCCTCCCGTGCCGTTTGAGAAGTGAATGCCTAATCAACAACGCTTTTTTCTCTGCTATGGTGTTTTTCAGTGTATCCATTGGCACCGCATACACAAGCTTTGATAATGAGGAGCAGACTGATCTGCTCCCGCCAGGACCACTATAAACGACTGGAGTTTCATCTCCCTCCAAGGGCGAAACAGCCAGGAAGTCGGCCACATCTCCGTTAACTTTTTCCTCCTTTGATGTAGGCATAGGGTACCATACTCCGATACCCCCTCTTCTTCCACTTCGTTCTCCACTAACTCCAACCAGACTTGAAACACGACTCGAGAATGCTTCGCCAACTGAAGAACCATCCAGGGATCCCTGAGTTGACATCCATGCTTCCAGAAGTGATTCACCAACCAGGTCGCATATCAGGTCACACGGGAGAAGCATAAAGTCTGACTTAATACATGCTTGGACCTCAGGAAGTCGGAGAAGCTCTGAAGTTCCGGTGGTAAAGGTTAGCCCTTGAGGAGCAAGAACTGATGCAGACGGAGAGGGTAGAGATGTGAGATGTGGGTTTTGTGACAGAGCCGCCTCAAGAACGGGCTGGCTCGACTTGGGAGTTATCAGAGTAATATCTAAGGCCTTTTGTTAGCAGATTGAAAATGATAGAAATAGGAACAGGGGCAGTTGGATTAAATGATACAAGTAACTGGCAATGAACAAGGGGAGAAGATTTTTTCTAGGATTGTGCTTCGTACAGCACAGTGTGTCAAAGGGATTGCAACTTCCAACATGTTGAGCATGCTCCTTTTTCCCAATGCAAAAAGGAATCATAAGTGAAACTTGCTGGAAACACAGAGAACATAAAGAAAAGATTTGCCAATTGCTAAATAATGGATCTTGAGGATACCCAAGGCAAAACTTACTTGTAATGCCCATGCGATAGCACCAGTCTAAGGGGTACCAGACCATGGGGCGGTTCGCAATCGGAACCAATGCTTTAGGGAATTCCTCCGGATTAGATGTAAAAGTATTTAGGGAAACACCGGGGCCACAGAGTATGAGAGCCTGGAACCCTGTATGGGGTACAACGTTGGAATGAGGCATGCTTCCTTTCTAGAGGGGAGCTGGAAGTGGATCGTTGGAGCAGCGCAAAATAGGTGGGTTGTTGATAAGCACCCTTCCTTCCCTAGACCCCGGTAGCTCCGGATGATCGCCGTCTATTTATCTGTAGACTGAGCTTTCAGTGATATTTTAGGCAGAGTTTCCGTTCAATGGCGTACTTTTAGGGGAGTCAGTCCGGGGTGGTGTTCTTTGCACCCCTCCTTCTCACTAGTCCTGGCTGGACTGTATATTCATATAGGACGATGCTGAATACGGACGGTAGAGGACTGTTCGACGATATTTCAGCATCTGGATAAATGATAATTAAACCTCAGGCGACTGTTCTAGCTATCTACTTCAGATATCTACAGTCCTGGATCACGGCGGAGAATGCAATATCAAAAATCTGTCTTGCATTTCTTGGCTTTTGATATAAGTCTAACTATGCCAATTTTTTATTTTTTGCATTGAGGTCAAGCTGCCACGTGATCCGCCCTCATCTGACCTGGCAAATAGTGCAAACACCGCAAAAGCGTCCCGAGGTTTAACAACTGCTCAATAACAGGAACGAATAGTAAAACCACAGGTTGAAACAAACACACTTCTATAACCTCCGACCTTCTCTATTTCCCTTCCACCTTGATTTATTGTACTTGGATGATTATAATGTGATTTCCTTTGCTCCATGTATTAATCCTGTTTGCGGATTACACTGTTTACTCTTTAACTACCTTGCCTGCCATTAATTGCTAGTCAAGACATTCCAACGATCCTGAGGTCCATTCCTCCATGTCAAACAACCGCTTTTCCGACGGTCGTCGCCGAAAAGGTGGTCCGACTGGGTTCAGTTCTACTACCGGCAGAAAGACAGCTCTCGGATACTGGCTTCCCCTTGCTATTACCGTTGGCGTTGCGACTGTCAGCCTTGCTGCTTGGGTATGGAGTGAGCGACGGGACGATGACGAGGATGACGAAGATTACTATGGGGACGACAAGCGTCCAACTGGATCTGAACATGGGCCTGAATTCGGCCAACCCCAAGGTGGACCTTCAAGAGCTACGGGGGTGTATGACGGAGCTCAACCTGAAGATGCTAGCGTATTATCGCGATTTCAAGGCGCTTTGCGACGAACACCGAGTCCGCAGCAACTATTCGACGGTGCTAGTAGAAGAGTTGCGGCGGGAGTGGCTGCTGCTGGAGCTGTAGTTGGAGGCGCGTTGGGTGCGATTCGTGAAGCGCGTTCGGGCGATTACGAAGACCATTCTCTATGGACTGAGGAGGCTAATTCTAGAGGCGTGTTGGCTACTGCAGGATCTCCGCCTATGTCGGGGGCGTTACCTCCTCCAGCTGTACTTTCGGCGAAACAGGCAGTTCCCACCAAGCGCAGAAAAACTGTGGCTATTGTGGTGTCCTCGGTTGGTGCGCCTGGGGAGCAGGAAGGTGTCGGGGGACAAATATCAGAACATGCCGTATGTTTCCTTCATCCCTACATATGCTGATAACATATATATATATATTGTTTTTGGAATACTTTTTTTTATTGGTCGTAACTAATGCGCGTTAATCCAATAGTCGATCCTGTCCCATCTACACGAATACGTGGATCCCGATACTGCACGAATCTTTGTCTTGATATACGCCCCCGGTTTGGAACCCCGTTCCACCTCCGAAACCTCCCCACGCCCCACACCATCTCTTTCTTCTTCCTATGCCAACATTGGCCATGATGGGGCTTCAGCGGAAAATTCCCAGGATGCCTCTGGCCTGGAAGCTGTTGAACCTTGCTCAGCTGGAGATGAGTTCGAGTCCGCATCACCTCTTTTCAAAGCCCTCAGTAACCAGGCCCAAGCACTAGTCGACAAAGAGACAATGATTATGCCATTCAGCACACCAATGGGCCACGTTCATATGCTCCGACACCTGTCTCCAGACGTTGTCTATATCCAAGAAAGCCTGACTGGAAATGACGGCGAGGCGGTCAACCAGATCATTGGATGGGTTCGACAGGTTGTCATTGTTGTTGGCACCGATGGCGGGCTCGGAAGTTTGGTAGATAGCGATGATGAGTCGGCGCTTGCTGACAAGGGCGAGAAATGGTGGCAGAAAGAAGGGGTTACTGGCTTGGGCAAACGGATTGATGTGGTGGACGGATTGAGAACAGGGGAAGATTGGAGACGGCGGGTCTCTGGCCATGATTGATTGATAAATGGTTGAACGCATTGAACCATGGCTGTTGAGTTTTTTTCTTGCTTTCTTTCTTTCTTCTTCACCTCCTACGAATACGGTTTGATTTCCTGTGCATGATGCCTTTCAACTCCTTTCCTTTTCATGTTTATACCTATATCCACTTTTTCTGTTTTGTTTATTAACGAGTTTCTATCTATTACATATGTTGATTTATTCATACCTACCATCTCACTTCTTTATATGTTTGTGTTTTATTTATTTAGAGTTCCCGAGTCGTAGCTATGGGTCCTCTGGGGTTCAAGAAGTTTATTAGGTTTGGAGCGGAATGATACGCTGCACATTCGGATAATTCAACTCTGTATATAGACGTTGTTTATACGTTCGCTCTTCATCATTAATTGTCATCAAATTTCACCTGATGCCAGCCACCTTTTCTCATAATGTTTCAATATCCACCGATTTTTACTTCCTGCCGTACATCCTTTTGTCCTGGGCAAACAGTAAAATGCCGAGGTTGATAGTTAAGTTAAAAGTGGCTTAGTAAGAAACACGCTAGGTCCAATCCGTGTAGAGATGATCACGTGAACGCAACAACCCCCCCCCCTAATGTGACATTCCAGAGCCTCATCTTGGCATGGAAACAACAACTTTTAACCACAGTTGAACCACAGCCAACACAAGACCGTATCCTCACCATCAGACTCGCCTTGTAACCTGACAATTTAGCATTCAGTTGTCCCTCCCGATGTCCCTCGCCAGCTAGTCTCTGTTCTGTTTGTTTTGTTGTCCTCCAGAATCCGTCGTGGGCGAGCCGGTCGCCACCCAGTCCATCCGTGCTTTTCCCACATGTCTCCCGCATCGGCTATCCGAGCAATATTCCGGGGGTTCTACATTCTTGTCCGTCCAGTCGGCAGCGTCCTAACCGTCCCTTTCGAACGCTAGCAGCAGGCGTCCTGTCTCCGTCGCATGGAAGTGTCTTCCGGCATGGCGACTGCTGTATCTACTAAACCCCCTTTACACAAAATCAAACGACCCGCCCCATCCTACATTCAGACCGGCATCAATGGCATGAGGACTTCGCAACCTTCCCCGTCGCCCCTGGGGTCTGCTACAAATCGCTTTTCAGGCACCAAACAGCCAGGGGCAGTTACTCCCACCAATGCTGCTGTCGTAAATGGCGCCAATAATCGCCAGCAAACGCGCCCGAGGAAAGAGCCCCAAAAACCCGGCGATTCTGCAACTCGTTTACACCCCCCCCCGACAAAACCCCCGGGTATGGATGTGCCTGTTGCGGACTGCAGGCAGCTCAAGAAGTTTCCCGAACCATATGGTTAGTATTATCTTGTCTTCAATTGACATTTCGGTAAGAATTCCGGGCTAATTGGTTCCTTTTCAAGTCAAAACAACCTCCTACATACTCAAAAAGTACTCGAAATCTCCACCGTCCCTAACTATACATCTTCACCCCACTCATTTCCGGTTCGATCAACAAGATGGAAGCTTCCCATATAATTCTGAAATGAAGGTCATCATCGAGCACATCAAAGCTGGTACTGTTCCGCATGACATGATCGAAGAACTGGTGAAAGGGGGAGTTAGATTCTACGAGAGTGAGACTTGTATTATCTGTGGCCAACCCTAAAGCACTAAAGCTAATGCTGTGAATAGACTGCCTTATTGTCCGTGTCGTGGATCATAAATCTGTCTCCTCCCAACCAAACCCTGCATCCAATTCCTCCTCCGGCGAAAAGACCTCACCTTTCTCTTTACACAATTACAACCAGCATGTTACCCCTTCTCCATTCGTACCATATCCACAACAGAACCAGTCAAGTGTAAATGCTACCACCAATGGCACTTCCACAAATAGCCAAAGAGCCGACGAGCAGTCGTCCACAGAAGCCAATAATGGTCTTTCAGAATCCAACGCAAATACGACGGATTCTGGTACTTCAAAGCAGAAAGCTCCCAAACCTAGGGTTTTTACGACTGTGCTACATCCCACACCTCAATCACTCTTGGCAGAGTTGACTCTGTTGTCTATGACCCCTGACCCTCGAGCTGTCAATCGCCGCCAGTCCCAAGCTTATTCCACATTGCGAACCGGATCTATTCCCCAGCCACCCACACCTCTCTCCGCATTGCCATCTTCTCCAGTGACGGACCGTGCGCCTCCAGCGAAGAGACAAAAGATGATGGTAGAACCATCGGAACTCTTGGAAGCTGAAGCAAAGCTGATACACGCGACAGCCCCGCCACTCTATCTCGAGCCAGTTGATGGGTTGGCAGCGAGTGCGAATCTTCTCAAGTTTTTGGAGGACCCTCTGCATCGCAGCAAACCCCCCTCACCAAAGACCCGAAGACGGACCGTAGCAGAATTGGCGGCCGATGAAGCATTGGCTGCTGAAGAGGAGAGATTTATGCTTATCATGGATGAGAGGTTGGGCCCAACTACTTCTGGCAATGGCGGGGGTGCCAAAGCACCTAATGTCGATGATGAAAGTGGCGCAGCTCCGTTTGAACCCAGATTTTCGAGATTCAAAACCCTCGAGAAAATTCGCCTGGAACATGAAGAGAAAGCTAAACTTGAACACGAGAAGAAGCTGCAGCAAGACCATGCGAAAAGATTACAACAAGAGGCTGAGAGGGAGAAGCGACGTGCTAATGAGCAACGATTGGCTGAGGAACAAAGCAGAGAAGACAACAGAAGACAACAGGCGGCGGCGGCGGCGGCAGCAGCAGCAGCAGCAGCACAGCATGCTCAGGTACAGGCCCAAGTTGCAGCTGCAGCTGCGCAGAATCGGCGACCTCAATCCCGAGGAAATCCTGCTATGAGCACGCCGCATAAACCACAGCCTCAGCAGATGATTCCAGCGTCGCAGGGTCAACAATCATCTCCAGTCGTGCGGCATTCAACCCCACATAGCTCATCTCCATTGGCAGGAACTTTGATGGGCGCGCAGATGAACCAAGGAATGCCAATCGCTATGACGAGTTCTGCTCAAGGAGCAGGAAGCCCTCTCCAAGTTACATCTGGTGTACAACATAGCCATCCAGCCGTCATGGGGCATCCAATGACTGCTAGCCGAAGTCAACAAGGTCCCAGTAGACACGGGACCCCACAAATGCCACATGGGACACCAGCTATGTCTCATGCCACTCCAACGATGCGCAACGCCACCCCTACGCAGCGAATGACGCACGCAAGCCCGAACGCTTCTACCATGGCTCATACTCCGGTCATGAGCCATGCCATCATGGCTAATCCTCAGATGAATGGGGTGATGATGACTCCTCAACAGCAGCAACAGGCCATAATGCAGAGGCAGAAAATCATGCTACAACGAAGCTTACAGGCTGGCGGACAGCAGCTTAATCCACAACAATTGGCGCAGCTTCAGGCAAGCATGCATGCGCAACAAAATATTCAACATGCTCAGCAACAGCAACAACAACAACAGCAACAACAACAGCAACAACAACAACAACATAATATCTTTTTGCAGCAGCAACAGCAACAGCAACAGCAGCAGCAGCAACCGCCGCCCCATCAACCGCAGCCCCATCAACCGCCGCCCCATCAACCGCAACCACATCAGTTCCCCAGCCAGGCCGCTTATCAGGCTCATGTTATTCGAAGTCAGCTGGCACAGATGCATATGTCTCATCAGCAAGCTATCCACGGTCAACAACAAGGAAGCCCTCAACAACTACCTCAGCAACAAGTTATAGCCCAAGCGAATGGCGTCCCACAAACTCAAGTAGGGCTTCAGCCCCGCTACCGAGCTCTGTATGCGCAACGTGTGCTCCCACAGGTCCAAATCGAAGTACGCGCGAAATTTACGCAGCAGTATGGCCACATGACTGGCTGGCCTGAAAACATTCGCCAACAGTTTCAGGAACAAGTGGATAAAACTGCCAAACAGTACTTGTTTGAGATTATGAAGAGGGAGGGTCAACAACAGCGGGCGCAAATGGCTCAGAACCAGGCGCAAGCACAGGCGCAAGCACATGCTCAGGTCCAAGCCCAAGTTCAAGCGCAGGCGCAGGCTCTCCAACAGCAGCACCATCAGCAGCAGATGGTGGGTAATAATATGGCTAAATAAATTGAGATTGCCTTCTTGCTTGTGTATTTTTACTCGCCCTTCTGTTTTTGCTGTTACCTCAGACTAGCCATTTACACAATTTGCACAAACCCCATTCAGATAAATACTTACCGGGCCATCTCTCTCCACCTCATCTATCTCAAACCCGCGCCACTCATCTCCCCATCAACCCTCTTCACCTTCACTTTCTAACACCCACTCTTTCCTAAAACTCCTAACTATGCTATTGGCACTCTACACCATATAACTTTTCCCCTCTGTTATTTCATACTTGTACTTTGTCAGCTGTGCAAGTGAGATATGCACACATATGATTGGGTGGTTTTCGTTGTGTGCCTAGTTGAACAGCAAGGCGTCTCGATTTGCCTGGCGTTACCATTTTCTTTTTCTGTTTTCTTTCTTTCCACCTTTTCCACTTGCTTCCTTTCCTTCTTTCCCCTCCTTTCTTCCCTTTTTTTCTTTTTCTTCTTTTCTTTTCTCTTTTTTCTTTTCTTTTGTTTTTTTTTGTTTACGCCTGTTCAGAAACTTCCCAGATACCAGTGGGCTGGCTGGGGCCGGAGTTTTTTAAGGTTGAGCTAATAATACGGAATTTATTATCGGCAAGGCAGGTTAAGGCGGTTTGGATGAAGTGATTTGATTGACTCATGACTTATGTTCTTCTTTTTGTGAATTATTCTACCTTTCAAGTCCTCCCCTCTTTTTTTTTTTTTGGTCAGTTTTCCGCTTTTGTTGGCTGAGCTCATAGCTAATACCTCTGGCTGTTTTAACTTACCATTTCTTTTATACTCATCTCCCTAGTCCACGGTCATTAATGTTTGAATGGTGTATCCAATCTGATCTTCAGAGGGTTGGTTTAGATAGGTTGTTGGCTTTCTGTATCTTAAGCAATGACCTGGTCTTATTGTGTGCTCCGATTTATTTCCCTTTCTATCTGATTTCTATACGACTTTTACGTTTTACATGGAAGAGTTTCTCTCATACCTAGCTTCTATCTAAATGATAACCAATGATATTATTTTCTGAATCAACCTTTTGGATACCTTTGCGGGTAGTTTCCAATATTATCGTGCTTCCAAAGGGACTCGCCCAGGATTCTTTTTCGTAGAGGTAGGACATTTTAAGTTTCGGTTGAAATATCCAAACCTAGTTAACTACGAGGAATAATTTTTGATGCAAAGGGAATTTATTATTGGCGTCGTCGGTTGATGCAAGGGGCACTTCTGAGGGGTTAGATAGATGGATACTGGCGAACTGTTTTGCAAGTATCATCATGCCTGACTACGCTCTGGCTCTGAGAAATTGATCACCTTGCCGCTTGCAGTCCTAGTCAGGATTTAGGGCCCATTTCCAATTAACCCCCACAGTCCTGTACCAAAATGCTCATACCTCATCCCCAACCGGACTGCACACGGATGACTTGTAGGGAAATTCAATGAAATCGTGTAACAAGGGCAGATGTTCTGCATCTCAAATGGCCCTCTTTTATGGGCGTGCCTAGGAGGGCCGAATCGCGGATTGCTGTCGAACCCAATAAGGCGCTGTAAAGTAGTTTTCAGGTTCCGGTCTAGTAGATGAATTTAGACTTCATGGTAGTTACTTGATTGTTCATGCGTTGAATTGAATGAAATTTGTGATAAAATTAGACGCTGCGACAGCTGACGAATGAAAAGGAGATGCTTTGGTGGATTGGAGGGCAGAAAACCTAAAACTTACGGGTATATGTAGGAGTTGCGCAACTGATAGAACTAACTCCCTTCGAATATGACAAAATAAATTAGGTTTGGGAAGGGTAGCAAGAAAATTATTGAATGGGTGAGGCTATGTATTATCACAACCCAGCTGGTTTGCTCCAACCGAACATAACGGTGCCGAAGCAAACATACTGAAATGGATTCAAGTCTCAATTGGAGGTTTTGAGGAGAAATTCTGAAGGCTGTCTGAAGGAACTACTCCAGGAGTCCTGGGGTGTCTGCCAGTAACAGCGGAGTTAATGGCTTTCTTGCGAACCGATTCAGAATCGATGTTCATCCGATTCTCGCGTGAAGATCTCTTTTTCCGACCGGCTGCGTCGCTGTGTCTGATGGGATCGCTTCGATTGGTCATGTTTTAGGGTCTGATGCGGGGGCACGCGTCCTGCATGCGTTTGCGTTCGGCACAGAGTCCGTTCGTGGATGCGGGAGCCAAACCTGCACCCGCTTTTGCAGAAGCCAGATCTTTGGTCTGTGGGATAAAAGCCATGGTACTTGCCATCATTGGTCCAAATTACCTAGATAGCATGCAGCAACTCAGAATTGCGCGCTTGTTAAGTTGATAATGACGGTGGAATGGGATGCTACCATCCTTTTCCCTTAGAGGGGAAATAGAGCTAGTTATTCGAGGCTTTGAAGATGCTTTTGAACCACAATGAATGCCATAACTATTGTTTGAATGTAAAAGCTGACTTTCTGCATTTCGCATCTTGAAAATCACCTCAATCTATGGTTCACAAGTCCACGAAACTGTCATTCTCCACATTTATTGAGAATTCGGAGTTTGTCTCATGTCCTTTTTACAATCTTCTGGATGAATGTTTGCCTCGTTCTCGCGAGCCCCTCTTCTCAAAGGGATTTCTATGTTCCTATAGTTATACGGGCAGGCTGAAGACATCCGGGTACTAGTCGACAACTGAAGATCTGAGTTGCGTGGTAGTGGGTTTAACCGTAATAATTCTCTGCTGTTAAACTTCAACGTCAACCAAGGCCATTTCCACAAACTATGGCTCTTTTCTCCGTTCTCTGCAGCTTCCAATGCAGTGAAGTGGAAAGGTGGAATGGTACTATAAATTCGGGATTGGCTGGCGCCCAGGGAAGATAAGGGTTGAACAAAGTAAAGGGGCCCAAGGAATACAGGGAAGCGTAAACCCATACTTGCTATGACCGGAGAGGCACATGGCTACCATTGGACTGTTCTTCTGAGTTTGCCCTGTAGCCTTTTATGGAAGCGGGAGGTCTTCTCAATGGTTTAGTGGAGAACGAAGATATATCCAAGGGGTCCATGAACTCCTGGGTTCGCAACGTTAACATTCATTGGCCAGGGAGGAGATTAATAATGAAAACCCTTGTAGGTAGTAATTTTAGAAGCTCAGGATATGAATACCTGTGGTGTTCCTTGAAATAAGAAAAGTGACACAAAAGGTTGTATATGGGATGGATTTGACGTCTGGAGGGTCGTTCAGCCTGGTGTTTTTTATTGAACTATGATCTAACTGCGCAAACGGATTAGAAGCAATGGAAATTAAATGGCCCCATATTTTGAGCAGGGATATTGGAGTTTGATTCGTGATCTCAATCTTTTGCGTCGGTGAGACTGCAACGCAAGTCAATGACAACAAGCTATTGGATAAAAAAAAATTGAAAAAAAAGAAGAGAAATTGATAACTTACAGCACAACACCCCATAATAAAAAGGTACCGTCAAATGAAAAACAGCATACGATCAGCTCCTCCGGTTCATTAACCTCTTATGGATCTCTAGAATTTATATTCTTAGTCAAGAACTGAGTACTTATGATCCCAATCTGCAAACGTGAAGTGCATGTCTGGATTTTATTGGGGCCTGTCCACTCCGTCCAGGTGGCTGAGAAAAACATAAAGCTCTCGAAAGGCTCACAAGTGGATCACCCACCCCATAGACCCAAATTCGAGGCCAAGATGTGCAGCATGCCAACCAAGTCCTTCAGGATGCTTATTCGTGCGGAACTAGAAGCAACTTATTGCACTCGACTAATTTTCATTTGTGGAGGTCGCCTGGATATGGTCTAAGGGAGGCTGTCGTCGTCCCCTCGGAAATGAGTTACTCGAAATCGTATCGTTCTGCAGGTAGAGCAGATGGCTTGAGCAATAAGAACCGTGTGATTAGTCAAGGAAGAGAAACTTCACACATGTCATAAGAAGGCATGATGAATACTGCACGATTTACCATCCCCATAACCTACCATACATATCGCCAACTTATAGACCCCTCTCAATTTCAGACCTGTTTAGTCGAATTTTTGGGGATCGAACATTTGATTAGAAAGTCAATGGTCTACCAACAAATTGTGGTTCATGCTTGGGGCATGTTTGGGATTGCAAGGAACTGATGTGCATCGTAGCGGGTAGTTAATTGGTGATAGCCACAGGACTGGCTGATTCGGAATATATGAAGTGGACATGCTATGTGCACTATGCATTTGACCTATAAAGATTGGATTTCATAGAGTGTAAAATCTCGGAACCAGAGCCGCAGCAAACCAACATTTAATGATATCACTGACTGACGAACGAAATAAATGCATTCATGCTTCATAGTCATGTTTAGTATCTGGGCTGCACTAAGGTATTGAAACTGGCCGCAGCTCAATAACATATCGATGCAAACAGGGATCTTAGACAATAGCGGATATCATAAGTAGGTTTTAGAAAGATGTTCTTATAAACCAACCATGGGGATTTTGTTGTGAGCCAGTTATGCCGTCAAATTTTCGACTACCACTGACAAGGTAATAATTTTTATGCGGGGTTGACAAAAGAATAATAAAGTAATTGTGACGCGCCCTTAACGCATCGAAAAGGGGCTCGACTACGCCACAGTCCCAAGGATACCCTGGGAATCCGGAGAGCCTTCTGTGGGAACGACCCGTGGGGTAGATACTGGTTTTCGAGTGCAGATGATTGGCGAAGCAGGCATTCAAGCTGGTGACGGGAAGATCTCGAAACTAACATCCCTCCGCCCAAGGTTATGGGATCAAGCTGCAAGCGTTGTCGAGTAGAAGTTCCGAGAAGCCACCCGTCTGCACCCGTTCTGAACGAGTCTAGCTTGTTTGATTGTGCGGTTTTGATGGGATATGTAGCATCGTAGTCAAATCCTGTTGGTAAATACTTGAAACGACTCTCTGTTGATACGGAACGAGAAGAGGTTCCAAACCTGACACGTCGGCTACAGTTAATATTCGACGACTTCCAAAAATAAATAAACAAAATGAAATAAAAAAGGTGAGTAGATCCCCTCATGCCGGGTGAGCCTGTAGTGTAGACATCTTGTGTAGATTCATAGGAAGATTGAATGCTGGTAGCCGCAAAACGGAGCGGGAGGCGGTCTCTAATTCCTCATGAAGATTATGAAAAGTCGAGGCTGTCGAGCACTATTAAGCTTTGGGACTTCTCACATTTGTAGCAATGAGGCGACTTGGCCAGAGTGTGCGTTCAGCGCGTCATTCATCATGGATTTGGCATACATAATTGGAGCTCTTTGCAGCTATGTTCTGTGAATACTATTTCTAACTCACTCCACTCCGGGTTCATACACCAGCACCGAGTCCTGTGGGCGGATATCATACGAAGTTAATTCCAGTGTCTTTCGGATAAAAAGAAACAAATAGCTAAATGTAAGTATTTGTCCTGGTGGGCAAAGACTCAGAGACTTACAATATGTAATATAAGTAGTTTTGGGACCATAACTCCGAGGCTAACATATAATTTAGTGTTTGGCTATCATTGATTTCTCCCAACATTGTGGCTTTTCGGCTATTGAATTTGAATATTTCCAGAAGCCGAATTTGTCTAATGTATGGCGAGGACATTCAAGATCATTGCAAATACGTAAGTCACATTTAAACCCGTCACCATGAAAGAGTAGATATCTGACGTCATTTTCCTGATAACAGGTCCAGTATGAGTGGTAAACACCTCCCAACTAGCACAAGGGCGTACCGGCCTGGAATACCAGGATTCGTTCCTCGAAACCCTCCCTCCAAACATTCCACAAGCTCGGACCAGCGGGCGTATGTGGAACTGACAAACGAACACTCGTATGGAGAGCGCTTTTCCGCGTCTAATAGCCCGGGAACGCAACACTGGCCAACGGATCAGAGAGGATCGTTAAGTGTTGGTCACCCGGCTTGCGGATCCATAACAACTGATGAAACGATCGTGAATCGATTTCCAAGCTCCGCTGCTATGCACGGTTTCTGGAATTGTTCGCCTAGTATAGAGCACAATGGCACGATTCAGCAGCGTGATGCTGGGGTAGCCGGTATCTTGCGAGGTCATAACCGAATTCTTCACGGCGAGAATTTGCCACATCCGGCATCTCAAAATCCGCAATCTGTACGCGTATGCTATGACCTTGCATACGAAGGTGCTGTCATATCTCCTAACAATCCATCATGCGATCTAGAAGGACGTGGTGTCCAATGGCGAACACCGCTGGCGGATGAAGTACCAGGAGTTGCACCTGCATTAGGACTAGCTTCAGCTGGATATTGTTCGGGCGTGGGGGGGACTGGGAACACTGCAATATCTGAGACGACGTACACTGGAATAGACATTCCAAAACCACTAGCCCAAGTAAGTGGATCTAAGGAATGCTCATGGGGATACAACAGCACCGGATACTACGAGTCCCCAGAACATTCCCCAAGTCCCGGGCAACAAACACAGGTATCGTCCACAGAATCAATAGGTCAAATAAGACCCCAGCGAAAACGCAGCCATGGCCTTGAAAGTATCCCATCAAAGATCCCAGCAGCACCATTCAAATGTGATGCGCCTGGCTGCAACGGCAAATTTAAGCGACATGAGCACCTGAAAAGGCATCTGAAAAGCCACACCAATGAGAAACCGCATGTTTGCTGGGTTCCCGATTGCAACAGGAGCTTTTCAAGAAATGACAACCTCAACGTGCATTACGCCACAACCCATGGAAAAAAGGGAGGTCGAAACCGCTACGTAGCAACGCTGGATGAGGCAAGTTCAGAGTATGATCCAGACTTCCGGGGGGACTTAACTCCAGATGGGCGGCCAGTTCGGTGTCTGGAAGCCAATAATGACACTGAAAAACATGTCCATATGCGATAACAGGTGCCCCTCATGGTGTACTTGAATAGCAGCAGGTAGACTTGGTGACATATTTGGAATTGATATTCCAGGTGAAATGATCGAGGTTGGGAGAACCCCAATATTGCTGTATGCACAACGCAAATGGTATAAAATTATTCTCTTTTACTATACCCAAATAATCTTCTATCTCCTTTTTAATCCATCAACGATGGCTTTCGGCATGGTTAGCACAGAATTTTGATTCCGGTTGTTTTAGCAGTTTATTCGATTGTGAGTCCCATGCATGCATGTATTCGATTTAGTTCGATTGAGCTTTGGGGGCAATTTGATATAGATCACCCATGAGTGTAAGTAGTGAAACACTTTAATGAGTGAATGAATAGATGGATGTTTCTTGATATCAAATGAAAAATTAGTTGAAGTTGACATTCATCGAAGGCCATGGAGTTGAAGGAGAAGATGATAGGGCTGGGACACCGTGATATCACCCCAAACGGCCTTTGGCCCCTCGAGGTTCTCGTGGAATGACCTCGTCAGGCCTGTATGTCCTTAAGACAAGAAGTCTTCTTGGATAACGTAGGTTGATGTAGTTGCCAAGGAGCCGATAGCATTTCTCGGGCGGTTGAGGGTCTCCCCATAAAAAGGATGAAGGCAATCGTTGGCACCCTCAATTGATACAGAATCAAGTCTGCTTCCGTAACAAGAGTGGTACAAACGGATGGGATTTCCATTGCATAGTAATCCTCTGCCAGCAATTATGTATTGATATGTATATGAATGTATCCAATACCATGATCGCAACCGTCCCCAAAATCTCCCCGAAAGGCATTTGAAAGCAACAGGCTTTTCGGTCCGATCAGGGCGTCTCATCCCCAGCTTCGTCCACACAGATTCCAACGCCTGTCCGTCTGCCTAGGGCGGCCTGAAGAGGCTGGTGGAGAGGTCTTTCACCATCATATAACATTTTAGAATTTTGTCCAAAAACAACCATATCATGGAGGCAGCGAGCGCTTCGATCAATATATATTTATCCCCACCCCTCACCACTTTTTTTTTTTTTTGGAAACAGGGAGTGGAAATCCAATCCAGTGAGAGGTATTGGACTACGCCACAGTTTCATTGACGAGGAGACGGGGAAGCGCGTGTGGCTGTGGAGGAGAATGGCCCGATTAATTTCCATGCGACGTGCAGGGAGTAATAATAGGCCACAAGCGGGCTGGGGAGGAAACGGAGCGGGACTGATTGTTGCAGGGGGGGATTAGAAACGTCTTCCTCAACGTGTATTTTCATCTACAGCAAGCTCACTTTGATTGATGACCATGCTCCGGAACGACCTCTTTGCCAACTAGTTGGTTTGCTAGGAGAACAAAACGTATCAGTTTGAGAAAAATAGAAAATGGAAGCAGAATATTGGTCCCAACTAACATACCACTAGTTCTATCACCTTTTACAGCTGGTTGACCCCATGACCTGAGCATACATTTCGGTCCCACAAAATGCCAGAGGCCAATGTTATCAATTGCGGCAGCCCCTTCTCCGCTCCGTCATGATGGATACATGCCAATGGTGGAATACATCTCCATCATCCGCAAAAAAAATATTGTGTCGAGTTTTTCTGTGATGGCAATACCATTGCATACAGTAGATATATTGCTTTTGGGACCTGGATAAAAAGAAAGGGTAAACGAACGGCATAGCGAGGCACCCCAGGAAAAGCGGCTGTATGGGCCTGTTCATGTTGTGACATATATTGACAGTAAATGGAATGAAAGAGGCTTAAGCGAGAGAGATATACTGAAATGTCGGTATAAGGAGTATATGGTAGTTACGCTGAAGGATCTTAACAAGCTTGCATTTTGTTTACCAGGTAAGTTTGGTTTTCAGCGTCTTCAACCTATCAGCCGATGTCAAGAGAGTAACAACTGTAACCATTGACATTAATTCTCAGTTCTTGTTGCAAGAGTCATAAATTCTTCAACCTTGCATTGCGCCGCTCTTCTTCTCTCTTCGCATCCACGCGATTCAAGAAGTCCATCCGGCTCAGGTATCCCTCCTTAGCCTTGCTGTGCACGTCAAGTTCATCTTTGATGCCTGTCCGATCGACATATTTGGCCCAATCAAGCTGAGATTTCATGACAGTATTCAGCTTGGGTCCCTTGGGTTGCTCACCGCCCCCAACGCCAGCACCACCGGGGGCATCGACGTTCTTTTCCCAACTCTTCTTGACCATGTCAGGGGGGTTAGGGTCGAATCGGGAGTATTTACGCAGCGGTCTTCGAAGCGGAATGTTACCACCATCATATGGGTCATTGTCCTTCTCCGCTTTCTTGTAGCTTATAGACTGTTTGTTTTTCTTAGCTTTTTCTTCGGAAAGGTAAAGTTTTGCCTCCGCGGAATCTTTGGGAACAGTCTTATCCTCTGTTATAACCTCGCCAGCAAATTTGTAGACTCGCTTGATGGTTATGGTTTCTTCGCCAGCGGGAATTTGTGGCGTCTTCGACGATGGATGCGCTTGGTCTAACATTTGGTGTAGAGATTTTCTGGTTGTTGATCTGTCATTCTGTTTGTCTCGTTCTGAAGTCATCCCATCTCTTGGTTCTTGGCCGATGGGTTTTGGAGGTATGGGGCTGGGCCCAACTGTTTTCATTTGTTCCCACAGCGCATCCACGTCCACCGTGGCACCATCAGCTCTCGCTAAGGGCCGTTGTTCTTCTTGCCTATAAGAAACGAATGCAAAGTGAGCCAACTAAGCCCTTGTACGAAGGCATCTTCTACAGAAACAACCTGCACACAAGGAAATATGAAATACCTACATGCGCATTTTCATACCCCTCGTTCTCACGAATCCACCCACACCACCAACGTCATCATCAATCTCAAACTCATCCGCGTCATCTTCATCACTGTCTAGTTTCGTTATATTGTTGCCCTTTTTCCCTGTCTTCTTCTCTATCTCTTTCCTCCTCGCTTTCTCCATCATTTCCTTCCCGGCCCGTATAGTAATCTCATCACCTGAATCGAAGCCGGCATCCATCACGAGATCACCATCATCTGCACCGGGTGATAGTTTCCGCCTTTTGCTAGGTCGATCACGATCAGCCCCCTCTATAATTTCATCCCCTTCCCTGTCTTCGTCCTCATCGTCATCTGTAGCCGGCGCGTTAACATCAAAATCAGTATCATCATCGGAGTTATACTCTTCCTCCTCTTCTTCAAGCTCATATTCTCTGCCTGTGGTTGACACCCGCATCACATTTTGAGCGTCTCCTGGAGTTACCGCCATCGCGCCGCCCTGAGTGCCCGTTGGAATCGCCGGGGGTGCCATAGTCTGTCAAATATTTAGTAATAGAATCGCTGGTCAAGACTAATTCGCGAAAGGGCCCAGCAAAGTTGACTAAATAAAAGCTAATCGTAGTGTTGATACGTCAGTATGTATTTAATAAAATGCTATACAAGCTTCATCTCATATGATTTCGTGGTTGTAAGAAGGGACAAACTAAGTTCCTGATTAAAATAATGACCCGTGAAGAGAAACAATATCGATGAATGATGTTTCAAGTCAATTTAATTGAAGAGACACGTGACCTGGTAGGTCTAAGTGATTATGTCATAATAAATAAACAGAGCTTTGAGAAAAAGACAAAAAATAATCAATATGCAAGATATAAAATAAAATCAAAGTGAAAATCTTCATTAATAAAGTATAAAAAAACTTTTTTGTCTATAATACAATTGAAATTTAATTATAACTACTTTAAATTCTATATAAAAAGATATAAAAACTTTATAAATTTAGATAAATATAATTTTTATAATTTAATTATAAGTTTAAATAATATTTTATTAAACTACTCTTTAAATAAAAATATTTAAAAAAAATTTTAAAGAAAAGTACTTATTAATTAATTAAATATATATTTTTAATATTAAGTTAATAAAAAGTTTTAATTAATTTTATAAAGAAATAAAAATTATATTTAGAGAATAAATTTCAAACTTAAATAAAATCTTTATATAAATTATATAATATATAGATATTAAATTTAAATATTACTTTATTTTTTATATTTTTATTGATCTATTATTACTATTTTTAAACTATTATTTTTTATCTTTAGTATTTTTCTTTTATTTTATTTTATAATTTCTATTATTTTGATTATTTTTACTAATTTTGTAAAATTGAAAATATATAAGCTTGTTTTCTACTATATATAAAGCTTAATCTTTATATGATTTATCTTTTCTTTTTTTTTCTTTAATAACTTCTTTTTGTTTTCATATGTGTTAGTTATTGTCAGGCTTAGTCTAGATGATAACAAGACAAAGCTTCAATTCATCTATCTAATTAAGTAGCCTGCAACGAGAATACTAAACTGGGGATTAGAATGTGAAATGAAAAAGCAACTGAATATGAAGAGGTTGAGGATCAGAGCGGATCAACCTTAATCTATATCACAAGCAGCTGCTCCGTAACAGCTATTGGCTCAGTGATTAGCTCATCATATAAAAGAATAATCAGTTGTTATGTTTTCATATATGAAATGAATATGTATATATATAATACTGAGAACTCAAGATTTTGTTTGAAAATTTTTATTGACTTTCAAGAAATGATGATACTAAATTCAATCTACTTATTCCCATACTTTCAAGTAAAAACAAACTCAAACTCCAAATACATTAAAAATGAAACCAACATTTTAAAAAAAGAAAAAGAAGAAAAGAAAAAGGATGAAACTGTAGCATGTCATAGTAAATGAGAACGAAACCAGGAGCTTCTCCGCGCAACTAACCATCCAAGAAAAATAAACAAAAAAACCCGTAAGGCATGACCCGATCAACAGCTGGCGCCAGCCAGATGGAAATAATAACCCTCTCCACCCCAACTGCCCTATCACAAAGACTGTTTCCCAACCCCAGCCCCATTTCCAGTTTCCACCGCTCCAACACCGCGCTTCCTCTCCATCCCAAATTCCATCCACCAACCGAAAGCAGCAGCCACACCCAAAATCGCCTGAAGCACAATCAACACACACATAAGCGAGAAGGAAGTATGAGTCTCCCTGCACAGCCGACCAAAGGCGTCCGTGGCATCGACCGGCTTACCATCTGTGTCCACTCCGCTCGGGAATCCCCACTTGCAGGTCCAGGTGCGGATGGTCTCGCCGACATTGTCACCGTTGTTCATGCGCGGGTCAGTAACGGTTGAAGTGAAGGCGATGGCGCCTATAGCAGCGATAAGGCCGCTGAGTGCTACGATGGTGATTATGACGTTTAGGAGGATTACGCGGGAGTGTGGCTGTAGGTGTGCTGGAGTTAGCTGTTGGAACCGGTGTTGATGTCCTGGAATGGTAAATGAGGAAAAGCTGCAATATGGTGTGGTGCACCTACAGATGGAAGGGAAGCCATGATAAGATACGCGAGGGTGAGAACGGCAATGATACTGCCGCAAGCAATCAGGGCCGTAGTTGGACGCAGATCAAGCTGCTCCGGCCACAGGACGAGCCCCCATTCCTTGAATGGGCTGGTTTCCTGATAAAAGCGAAGGGAGCGAGCTTCGCAGCCAATTACGGCTACGGCAACCGCGAAGATAAGACCAGAGATGCAAGTTCGGATCCAGTGGAAGATTTTGGTGCGGGAGAGATAGATCGATTCGTCTTCGTCAGAGGCAGATAGGGTGGTGGCCTGTGAGCCGTGATTGGAACCAACGAATGATGATGGAGACATTGTTATGGGAGAAGGTAAATTGGAATCAATGAACGAATAGAACGAGGGTGACCTTGTTCGCACCACTTGTGTTCAGCTCAAATGAGAGGCGGGTTCTGCGGAATTAGGAGTAATCGTCTCGATAAGCACATATCACTCTGCACAAATATGTTCTCAGCGATTCCGATCGAAAAGCAGCTTGGTTCGTATATAGGGACGAAAGAAAAATGGATAGGTAGATCAACTAACGAAAGACTAAATGAACAGAGGAGGCACAGCCTGATAAAGCGCAGCTCCAAAAAAAAAGAAGGGAAACAAATACGGAAACTCAAGAACCACCAAGTATATGGGTGAAGCGGAAATCAGGAAAAAATAGAAAACTAGAACGTGAGAGAGATGGGCCACAATACGTTTTTATTCTTTAATCTGCTGCAGCCTCTCGTCGGCGCCAAAGGATCTCCATGTATGTGACATGAAATACATATCACGGCCCCGGTACCTCGGCGGAAAATACAAGAGGAACTTTGACAATTCATGATCTTGATTCCCAGTCAGCCATTGGTGCTGGTTCCTGCAGATCTGCGCGCATAACGCATGACGTTGGCTGCATCAGATTGAAGAAGCAGAAGAGCAGCGCATCTAATTGGGAAGATTCAGATTCCCCAGTCTCCATCGCGGCGGCAGGCTGCGTTTTGTGCACTAGTCACCACGGCCAATCAAATTGCATATCCAATCCTTTCTTTGGACCTCTCCAGAGCAGGGCTGCAAGGGAGCGATACACATTTGATTCGTCAGTGCTGCTGGCGCCGGTATCCAACGATTGCACAAGCAGCACAACTGCTGGGTTGCATCAAGCAACTGATAAGGCGCCTCCGTTGACTCCTGAGTGCTGGCTCCTGAGGTTCCAAGTGGTTGCGAGTTGGAAACCAGCGCCAGGAACATCGAAGTGATTGGGTGAAGGCTGAGATAAGGTTGGCCATGGTATGACTAAGCTTGGTTGGGTTAGTTACCCAGTTAGTTAGCGCAGAGGAAGTTTGGTTCTATAAATAGCCTACCCCGGTTTTTATTGTTTATGCCGAATCTATGAAATCACCGATGGAATTAAGGCCCTGGGAGCCGCGCTTCGAGTTGAAGGCTTGATAACCTGTACTGTACATCCAGTACATCCATGATATATTTGACACTTCAACTTCCTGTTCTATCCCTAGGATTGGCGTGTGCCTTATTATTTTTGCTGGGGATTCAGAAGATAACCTGACTATGAACACTCTGTGCTCGCGTCTTCATTTCTATATTGTGGGTCTCGGCGTCAAAATTGTTCAACATCCCAGCATCCATCCGGGTTATACACTCAACATGCAGTAAGTAGCACATCACATCTCCGAAATTGTTTACACTGTTAAACGTACCAGTAAATCTCCCTAAACGTATCAAAGCAGTGCAGAGAAGAAACATGGGATTGAGTGTTCTATAACTGAATGAAATAAAAACATGTATTCCCCTCCATCTTACCCCAACCTCGTCTTATTCTACGCCCCTTTATGCAGGTCTAAATTGTATCTTGTTGGACGGTAATTTCCTAGACAGCTGGGTTCTTATTGTCATAATATTAAACACATTGGGCAATGCACTGAAGCAACTTGTTAAAGATTGAAAAATAACTTTAATTTGAAGCTGGGCAGTTATCAACTAGGTTCAGGTCAAGGCAACACTCTCTGCATCAAGGTTTGAGCTACATCAAGCTGACACACAACCTGCGCGATGTATGGGTGGCTGGCGGCGTCAACAATCCGAAAGAGATAAATGTACCAGTTCCAGTCCACTGCTTGGATCCTGAATTATACCGAATCGTTATAATCCATTTTCCGCAGGGGCCGGCAATTTCCTAGGCTCAGAGGCACTCGTGACATCCTATTTCGTAAAAGAGGCATCATACGCATATGGTAAAATATCATACCCACCCCCTTTTCTCGATCCGCCCTGAAAAAAACCCTTCTAAACCTCTTTCAGTGGGCCCAAAGCATATAACATAAACATTACGCTGTGTTGAAGGTAAAATCACGCAGTTCCCGCAAACTCCAAAAAGGAGAACCCGAAGTGAATGAAACTAGTACAAAGTAGTTAAAATGAAAAGCTCTTGAATAATCCCATTTCACAGATTCGATCTCAATCACCCGCACAGTACGCCAGTCAACCGCTTTCCAACATCTCCACCACTCCTTCTAACGCCTGTGCTTCTTCCCCGTCAATCCTCCGCCCAGCAACTACCACACCATGCTCATTCCCAGCCCTCAGCTCCCCATTCCGCTCCAGATGCAATCGCGTCCGACTCTCAATGTACTCCATTCTCTCCTCACGCTTCGGATCTAGTCCCATCTGATCCACAGACTTGGGCAACGTCGATAATTTCGGCCGGAGTTGTGCAAGCATTATCCGTAGTGCGGGGAGTTGGGAGAGTATGAATGTTGTGTTGGTTGTGATGGGGGCTCGTGATGGGTCTGCGGCGTCACCAATTCGCAGGCGTCGGGCGGTGGGATCGGTAACGAGGAAGGAGAGATCGGGGGCATCTGTGGTTGGAATCGAGGGTTTTTCTGGGATTTTCGTCGTAGTCAATGTATCTGTGGCTGTGGTTGTTACCTGCTTTTCTTCTGTGGAAGCTGAGTGGCTGCCTTTTGACAGGACTGAGCGGAGTTGTGCAATTATGGCTTCATTGCGGTCGGATTCTTGTTTCAGTGCGCGCTGCAGTTTTCGGTTCTCACGTAGCTTGTAGCGTTGAAGGGTTATGGATTCTAGGGTTGGGGCGTTGGGAGGAATGGGTGTGAGAGAGAGCTTCTATGATGAGAAACATTCCACAATCGTTAGCGAGTATCCAGTAAACAATATCCTATAGCTTTGCATGAATGGTAAAAACGGCAGCTTTGGCGATTCTAACGCTAATTCCGTCGTCCTACCTCATAATGCGACAGGCGGATCCATCCCAGCAAATCTTGGGGTACCGTCAAGATATTGCGCAGTACGTAAATCTCAAATTTATCAAACGCTTTATCCACTGTCGCCTCAAGCAGCGTCTCCAGCTGGTGCAGCCCGTTTTCTATCTCCAGCCGGGCCTCGGGGTACTGTATGTTGCCATCATCATCTGTGTCAGGAATAGAGTCTGCTGTGTGTGAGAATCCCAGACGTTCTGGCGGGGCATTTAAAAGACCCTCCTCCAGGCTGGAGATGGCTTGGTAGATGAGGTTGTTTATGGAGTTTATTATGTCGTCGATGAGAGACTGGGACATAACATACAATGTAAGTTACTTTATCGGCCAGTGTGATGGGGTGGAGGGAAGCTTACCAGTGGGGTGTAGCTGAAGTGCTCCGTGAGCAGGGAAGTTATGGTGTCATTCATTGCTGTGGGACGAAATAGTAGATGGACATACTTTCACATGTCTGTATGTCTAGGCAGACCAATGCACATTCCAATTCTAACCCCGCTAATATCGAGATATTCCCGTTGAGATCGCGTGTTTGTTGGTTGGGGGACATCGCGTCTTTTAACTTTTTGCATGGGAAGGTTTGACACGAAGGTTCGGCTAACCTTTGTAGTTTAACTTAAGTTGGTTAGTCCTTCTGCAGCCCCTAGCCGCAGTATTTTGTCAAACACTGCTAGACAAGGCTGAAACGATCCGAAGTTTGATGGCCGAGATTGAGGATTCCTTTTCAATAATATTTATTTTGCTACTATTTTCAATGTTCTATCATACGCACACCTAAACAGCAGATGAAGAAAACTCGAATGTAACAGAGGGGCAATTTTGGGTGTGAGCTCATTTTGCGGACCAGCCAGCAGGCATTTGTACAAGCAAAAGATAATCAGATTTAACGCTGGGGCACAAAATAATAAGAAAATCACATACCCCTGAGAAGGAATAAGAAAAAAGTCAAGAGATATAAGACGCAAAAGGGGACAGGATTATTAATCTGAGAGAAAAGAGAAAGAGAAAGGAAAGGAACAAGAAACTACAGAACAACTAACTGGGGATGTTACTTTCCCAATCTCGTTCCCCATCGAGCCCAGGTTCGAACACAGAAAAAAGAAAACAAAATTCCCCCTACAGTCCGAAAATTGCAAAAGCGGCAATCAATACACCGGAGAGACTTGCAGCATGAGACATCTGCTTAGGTGCTGCGTTGGTGGTGGCTGAAAGTGGCCTAGTCTGAGTTGGTGTTGGTGTACCAGCAGCGGTTGACGGTACAGCTCCGCCCGTTGGGAGTGCTACACCGCCGTTACCGAAACCGCCGGGTGGTAGAATGGGGATACCACCTTGAGAACCACCACCAGAGCCTCCAGACATCGCCGCTGACCGGAATGCTTCAATCCCCTTGTCTGCTCCTTCCGGACTAGATATAGGACGATATATATTAGCGATTGCATTTGATTTCAGCTTTCGCTCTTGATGGGATGTAAAGGAATGCCTACGGATTTATGACCATGACCATGCCATTTTGGCAGTGGTTAGTCTGTCCGCAGAACAACCATATTGGGTTGCTGTCGTGGACCATAACCGTGAACACAGGCATTTGTGCGGCATCAGGCAAAACCGGTAAAAACCCGGACCTGATAGCGGGATGAGAGCCATTAGATGCACCTATGGGAGAACATGGTTGTTCCCATGTGGACTGGGAGACAGAGTGGTTCTAGAGAACGATAAATTAGCTGCCAACTCCTTTCAACTTAATCATTCCCTCCAGGGCTAGGGGGATATGTTACCTTCGGATGGAACTGGAACTGGACCATTGAGCCTGGCTCAACCTTAAGCGAGTCAGGGTAGAATCTCTGAGTGCCTTCTGCATTGCCAACTTGAACAGTATGCACTGTAACCATGCCCTCTGGAGATTGTCTTTTTACAACTGACCATCCAGAGATGATTTTATTTTCAACTTGTGCCTGGATTCCGGTTGACAGAAGCACAGTCGATGCTAACACTCTTCGAAACAACATTTCCGGAGCTTTCGATTTTCTTTTTTTAAAAAAATTACGTTCGTGAAAGACAAAGCAGAGGGACAAGGCCCGTATCGTTCGTAGAGAGTGAGGCTAGGAAGCAGAAGTAAAAATAAATCAATGAGTACAAGCGGCTAGCGCTTTGATATAGTAGAAGCGAATGTGTAAATAGATTCGTACACAACGGAGAGAAATTAAAAAGAGAGAAAAGGAAGAGGCAATAAAAGCACTTTCTCACAGAGATGGTGAAAGTAAAAGGAAGAGAAAAGAACGGAAACGGAGGGGGAAAGTATAGATTTAAGACGCATAAAGAGATTATCCAAGCTCCCATATTGAGGGTTTTCACAAACCAGGGGTACGACAAATGGTAGTTTGGTGTCACGGATTCCAAAGATGGTATGCCACCGGGACCCTTAGGATTTCTAAAGGGGAAATGACACATATCCGAACGGGATGCCCAAGTGGAATTATATTCCTTTTAGGATTAGAGGCAATAGCATCAGACACATTTGACACCACAGGCCTCGAACTCTTACCCCTATCTGGGGAGGAATGAGTATGTCCTGAGTATAAAGTACTTGAGGGAGGCATACTCCAGGAACTGACCAGCACGGAGTAGCAGACAATTCATCTTCAAATACACTTCGTTCCTAAAATTCAGGTGAAATTTCTAGGAAAGGATTCATTTTCAACATCTCACCGAACATTGATGTCGCCACTATGTAACTACCACTGCCAAATGTGGAATATTAAGAACAGCAAGCCCTAAAAGTCAGCTATCCTGCGATTAGGGGTTAATCTGCATTTTCTAAAGCGCTAGCAAGCTCCATTACAATTGCGGACGGCCACTGTTCCATGCATGAATGAGGCTGCGATGTGAAGCGTAGAAGAGTTTGAGCACCGTCACATCGCCGTTTGAGGCATGGCAAGCCCCTGTAGCTATGAGCATTGGCAGAGGGCTGTTATTGTCATATCCCGTGTCATCCCTTTAACAGATTTGACGGATCAGGAAGACTATATAGATTTTGGTGCGGACATCCTTGTGTAAATGTTCATCTCCTTTGGAGCATCTATAGAATTGGTTCTCGACTGCAAGATGACAAGTTGGTTCCATTGATTCTGGGGCGTGTTGTGGCTGATGCGATTGTTGTGGCTGATAGATAACCAGCATTTGCTGCCTGAGGCTGCGGTTTGGTGTGATAACAACTTCATGATATAGAACGAATAGTTACGCCTTTTCTACGAGTTTCAGCATAGAGAAAAATGCAGGGAAAGAGCAAGATTCGAATGCAATTCTCGATGGCCAGACCGCATATGACGGGCTTTGAAAAAAAATGCCTTGGACCCAAAAATTGTACGTAACTACATATTCCTAAAAGACCCGGTTGCTGAATTGTAGTACTAATCCCAAATTTCAACCATGCGAGTAACCCCCCAAAACTGGTCAGTCGCCTTGCAAACCCAAACTTAAATAAGATCCCTCTATAATTATTTGAAAACGTAAATCCATAAAACGCCGGGCCGTATCACAGAATTAAAAATCAAGCACCATCTGCGGCGCTAATTTCTCCAAGTCCTCAATCTAGAACCCATCAGCATTGTAGAAACACATTTAACTCACCAAAAAATAAATAAATAAATAAGAAAACGAAAAAGAAAAAGAAAACCATAAACTCACCTCCAGATAACTATCAACCTTAGCCCGTGCTCTACCTCGTGCTTCAGGGCTATCTGACCTACTCTCCTCAACCTGCGTCCTCTCATACGCCGCCCGTGCCAGTGCCTCCCTCACAAAGATGTCCACATACTTGGCCACCACCCGGCCGGCATCCTTAGCGATTTTGGTCTTTTCGTCTTGGAAGTGGCGGTGCAGGAGTGTCGTGAGCAGTTTGCTGGGGATCATGGGTTCGGAAGAGTCAAGCTCTTCGCGTGGGTTAACAGGAGCAGATTCGGTGATTTCTGCAAGGATATAATCTGGTACGCCGGAAGGGGAGCGGGAGCGGGAGCGGGAGCGGGAGTTGGATTGGGATCTTCCACTATCTGATTGAGAGCCGGGTGGGGATGAAGTGGTTTGGTCTGGAGGGTTCGGAGACGGTGTTCGCGATACACGGATATCATCTCTATCATTTTTGCGACCCGAAGATTTTCGACGGGACGTGGATAAGGAGGAGGATTGTTTTGTTGTTGAGCGGGTTGTGGACTTGGGCTTAGATTTTGACATTTTGGAGATTGTGGAAGGTTTAGTTATGCCGCCGGAGGATCGTGGGCGGGGTGGTTTGAACGGAGGAGGTTTCCGCTTTGCTAGAATCGTAGAACGGTCCATTGGCGGTGTGAATATGTGGGTTGTTTAAATTTTATTGTCCAGTGACTGAATTTTGATCTGATCCAGATCGCTTTGTATGTTGGAAATTTAGACGCTGGTGTTGCAAATGACGCGCTTGTCGCGTTTGAATGCCACGAGAACACGTGAGATCAGTTCCTTGCCTGCCTACTTCACACCGAATCTACGGACACAATCACATAACTACGGAACCCATGTTGAAATTGCTGGTGCATCCTGCTGGATGTATGTGGTATATCTTCCCACAAAACTGAAGAGATAGAAGATTAAACTCAAGCTTCTGCCGACGAAATGACTTCCACGGTTGCCCGAATACCCCTGAACACCCTTGAACCCCCACTGAATTCACTATTAATTAAGCCACACGCTGAATTCCCTGATATAAGACAAAGTATTCACTGTAGCTTTTGTCATATCCGCTTTTATCCCGTGTTAACCCAAACCTTAATTAACTTAACCCTCTATTGTCCTGGTGGGCTGACAATCGTCATTCTCAACCCCGCCTTCTCCAGCATCCTTTTTGTCCGCTCCCACGGCACACCGAAAAGCCCCGCATTAAATCTACATCCCCATAGCTGCCCAGGTTGCCCCTCTCCTGTCATCTCCGCAACCGTAGTGGAAGAAGCAGCAAGCTGTCTTTTCAGATCAGCAACAGCAAGCGCTGTATTGGCCAAAATGACATCTGGTGGACTCCTGTTCTGCGGGCCATAGTGCCACGACGTAAAGAGGCATATGATCCAATGCTTTTTCCCAGTTGGAGGTGGTCTTGGACCTCTGGAACTATTTAGTCTCCCGCGTCGCCGTCCTCGCTCACCTCCGCGCCCACGACTAACGCTGCTGGGGCCAAGTTGGAAATGCGATTGCAGGTGAGACTGCGGCTGCGGGCGCGGCTGGTAGTCTGCCGGCTGTGGTGGGATTACCAGGGCTGTGCCTTCAGGTAATTTAACAGTGCGAGGTTGTTGGCGATCGGCGTTTGGTCCTGTGCCGGGAATGGGCCGTGTTTGTACTTGTGGATTGGCCAAGTATTGTTGACAGTGGGCGCGGAAGATGCGGTAAGCTGCTGGGTACTGCGCAGTGTGTATTAGACATGGTCACCTAAAAGTAGGCGGAGTCTTCATGGATATACATATGGATATGGATATAGCTTTACATTTATCAACTAAATACATACCTTCTCCCTAAAACCCTGGGCAACCCCTCTGCCCCATGACCCCTGACAATTGCATGCGTCTATTCGTGTTTGCGTAAAGTTAGGAGTCAACATAACAATACACCATAAGGCAAAACTTGGCAAAGGAAAATAAGAAACCAAAAAGCATATGAAAAGTGTTGAAAAGACACATACGAATCAAAGAAACACCCTCCGGTGCGTCGAAGAGATCACCTTGGATTTCGGTGATGGGTGTCATCGTACTTGTTGAATTCAGTCAAATTGAAATGCTTCCTTTGGTTTTACACTGCAGTTTTAAAAGTGGGCGGAGAGGAGAACTAGAAAATGTATGATATCGAAGCAATAGAAAGGGTTATTCTGTCATACGGCTCATTAGCTGAGATGTTGGGTTAACATACAAGCGTCCTGGGAGAGTTCACAACATGCAGCTTAAGTCGTGGCAGTTAAATTAAACGACAGCGTAGTGAATGACTCAAGGCCAACACCTGCAGTTGCCTGATCAACACATTAACATAGACAATACGAGATGTTGCGCTGCATTATAGAGGGACAGCTGATGGACTAGTAAATAAACGGGATTACGCGCATAGAATAGATTTAAGATGGTTTAGTAAAGAGAAATATCACCAATTTCAAATACAACTGTTGGTAAATCTAATTGAGCTACTCATTAATCTTGGAGTGCATTCAATCTGAGAAAATAATCACCCATCATCCATTTATGTAGTCATGTAAATATGCATTGGGCATTATTAATTCCTATCAACTGAAGGAAACAAAGAATAATTCATTTGGCACATTCAAGTGCACAGAGTTCAGATACTTGAATTGCATTATAGGGGTAAAATAGATATATCCCCGCCCAACCCCCCCAACACCTAAACTCCTGAACCCCTGAGACTCAAGTACTTGGATTCACCACCCCAGCCATGCCTGGCCCATAAACAAGCAAAATCAAACACCTCTCCCGAAAACAATCCTTCAAAATAGAACTGTAGCATGTAAACCCGACAGGAGAAAAATAACCGATAATAAATAAACGGAAGAAAAATACTCCGTACAGAACAAGGAGAAACAGTGACATACACAAACTGCCCATACTCATCGGAAAAAAAACTGCTTGACGCTCTGGCATTTCTTAATGACCCTGTCCCTCCCTCTGAGACCCATTTTGGCGGGTGAGAAAGAGTCAACAACGGTAGTATTATCCTCACCGGTAGGTGGAGGGGACTGCACAACCTGGACCGACGAGGGAGTAGGAGCAGTATGTTGCGCGCCCCCAACGCTCGCCGTCCCATGCGACGAGGTGTTCGACTTGACCTTGCGATTGCGGCTTCTGGTACGCGACATGCTTTTGAACATACTGCCATTGTTGCCATGTTCGTCATTGGACGAGCGCTCCAGCTGCTCGATCTCGTCGCGGATGGTGGAGCCGTTTGTAGCAAAGTTCTCTTCAGCCATGGGTTCGAATTTGATGACGCCACGGCTGCTGGGGATGCCGAGGGTGTCGTTGATGGCGGTTTGGATTAGGACGGTGTGGCGTAGATTCATGATAGGGGCGACTGAGTAGGGGAGCGCGGAGACGGTGGCCAGGTAGGCTGGCTCATAGTTGCTGCCGAGCATGAGGCAGCAGTTGTGCTCGACGTAGAGAAGAATGGAGGTTTCTGGGCGCTGGAAGATTTGCGCGAGGTTGAAGGAGAGTTCTGAGAGGCTTTGAAAGTCATCTTGCAGCTGTTGTGGGATTGATTGGTTAGCTGACCCCGGTTGCCCCTTTTTTTCTTTCAAAGAAGGGTCTCTCACAATGGTATTCGTCTTGACCTCGATAACGACGATAGAGTCCTGGTTGATGCGATGTCTCGGGGTATGATACGGCTCTCTATCAGTAAACACGTCATTGAAGTATTGACTCCTCTTCTTCGCGACCTCCTGGTGGCTGGAAGACTTGCTTAAGGCATGAATGGGGACTCCATCTGTGGGAGCACCGCGAGTCAGCTCCTTGGTGACGGCGTTGATATCATTGACCTTGACGCCAGTGCTCGTTGCAGTTGTTGAAGTTGACTTGCCAGGGCCATCATGCAGGCGGCGGCTGGCTTTTTTAGCAGAGTCGCTCTCTGGTTTAACTAGCTGGCTTTGCACAGAGGAGATTGGGGATATCAGGCTTGAGGGCCTTTCAAGGGAGATTGGGTCTGAGGTATAGCCAGAGCGGGATTGCGACGGGGAGTCCATCATTGATGAATGAAGAAATGAAAGAATGATGAGTATTGTTTGCAGTTGACAGAATGATAAAGAAGACAAACGACAGACAGAAGAAAACAAGATGAAGTTCTAGTTGTTTTTGTTCTTCTTTTACTTCAGATGAGATATGTCGAGAAGAACGAAGTGTTGTTATTATTTGAGTCCGAACATGTCAACACAGTAAGTTGTCAGAGAGATTGAACAACTGAATGAACATCACAACATCAGAACAAAAAAGCAATGACAACACTTATTAATTGCTTTTCAGTTGCATTTTTGTAACTGAAATTTTGCTGCATTTCACTGTCTTTTCAACTGTGACACTTGAGAACATCAAAGACATTTGAAGTCAACAGAACAATTCAGTCAGCCATATCAGCAGGAAGGTGCTGGCAGAGAACAATGTATCTTTTATCCGGCATGTATACCTGTAAGACAGATGTAAAGGGGGAGAAGCTATGAGCGAAAGAAAAAAATTTTTTTTTTGTAAGATATCAGATCAGATAAGATATAGCAAGAGAAGAGAATGACCCAGGACAAAGAGATGGGAATTAACCGGGCTGACGGCGAGAAAGAGAACACATTGCATATGGATGCCCAACAGAGCAGAGAAGGGCACATAAGGTGGAATAATAGCAGCAGATCTTCCAGGACTCCATTCGCGCAGAGACATTTTATAGATAACTTCTTGTGTATTTATTCTATTATGCCACTGAAAAGGGGCAGTTGGAGAAAATAAAAAGAGAAGACAAAGAAAGAATGATGATGTTATAGCACCCAGTGATGTAACTATTAGCTAGGTAACTAACAAATGAACTAAATAGTTCAAGGAGGGAGTATTTAACCATGAAGAAGTATATAACACAACTAACTACACATATTTTTAAAATGAACTTGGAAGAGTCACAATCCATGTTTACACGTCAACAAATGTAGGAACTCATAACTGCTGGCATTATCTAACTATCTATTTATTATTTATTTATTTTCTTGCTCGTCTAATAGGAATTATATAGGTATATATTTGCATACAAATACTCTGCGACGCGCGGGAGCATATAGATGCATCATGATCTGTCAATATGCCAAGTGTGTAGTCACTTACGTCGTGCGAAGAATGTAATAATAAAGCCAATCTCCGTAATGAAACTCCTCATAAAATTTCCAAAGAATGGGTAATCATCTCCGCAATTGGTGTATACAGCATCTACAAAGGGCTGTGTTGGTTTAAGGTTCAACTTCCCTCCGAAAAATAAAGTGTATAGGTGCACAAGTCGAATCTGGAATCGGCAAGATTGGAAAAGAATACCTCTTCGCGGATAATAGGGGCCATGAAACGTGTAACGGAAACGGTAGAACGGCGGGGCCCTTCTAAAACTGGTGATGTTTGTAAGAACTCATAGAAGGGATGATCCGACTGGTAGTGAAACACAACACACCACGGCTAAGTTCAGTAATATTCAAGTGACAGTACCGTACCTCAATGGTCCGCAGTGGTAGTCTGATATACGGAAATGAAAACCCACCTCAGCCGCTGACCAGTTTATCCACAGGCGTCGCATCGGTCGAGTTCTCCTTATCCGAACCACCCAACACCCCCTCCAGTGTAGGAGCTCCAGCTTCCAAATCATCTCCCTCAATTCCCAACCAGGTCACTACGGTTTTTGTTGACATCGTCATTTTTATTCGCGTGGACAATGTCCCGTTTTTTCGGCTGCATGGCTCCGATCTGCAGCGCCTCTTCAGGCAGCGGACGCACGTATGGCTGACACACCCACCACGGCCGTTTGTACCGCGCCACAGTAGCCTTGGAGCCAGATAGTTCTTTTATCTCTGCGTCCCCTTTTGCATCTTTATCCTTGTCTTCCTCGAAGCGCTCAGGAAAGGCTTCATACTCTAAGATCCCCGCCTTAACCGCGTCTTCTACTAGGGAGACGATGTTTTCGAAGTCGCCCATCCGGCCCCCTCTGCATCTTGCTAGTGCGTCACGGATGTTTGTGTGTTTGGAGATAAGAGGGCGGAGGAGTTGGAAGAGGTGACCCTGCATGGAGACGAGGTTGGGAGAGGTGGGTTTGGCATCTTTGGATCTTTTGCGCCTTTTCTTGGGGGGGCCGTCTTCGTGGTCTACATCTGCATCGGGTTCGGGCCCATTATTAGTTGTTGGGTCGGGGGGTTGAGTGGTATTTGTCGTTGAATTGGAAGATATACAGAGTGGCTTTCGCTCAGGGGGCGGAACTTCAAGGACGTATCTGTAGATAATATCCATATAACGACGTAGAACGAAATCAACACGGTAACCACCCTTCCCATCTCGACCTCTCCAGAATCCAGAGCCATTGCACTCACTACCAACTGGTGGTGGGGTGGTGAAAATCGTGGGATCACATAGATTCCCCTCCGCGCTCATCACACCATCCGCACCCGTAGCCTCCAGGCACCGAATAATATCCCCATGGTCCAGGATATTCCCATTCGCAAAAATAACGGTGTCAGCTGGCAAATTGTCTCTCAAATATCGAATATACGACCAATCCGCCAAGCCTGTATTATGCCCCTTCTGATCCCTCCGCCGCCCATGCACGGAAATAAAACTCGCTCCCGCACTAAGTATCATCCGTGCATACTCCAGCGTCTTCTCTTTCGTCTCCTGAATGCGAAATTTCGCGGTGACTGGTATCGATAGATGCGTGTGCAGTATGTTTATGAGCTTGTAGATTAATTCTGGCTCCTCCTGGAGAAATGAACCATAGTGGCCCTTGCGCGCAATACCTTGAGGACATCCGAGATTCAGATCGACGGCGTCACAGAAGGGCTCCACCGTGCGCGCGGCATGGAGGAGCTCGTCCGGGTCGTTGGCACAGAATTGGACAATGAGTGGTCGGTCGATAGTTGGGTTTCCGTCCAGATAAGGGATGACTGGGCTGTCTGGTAGCTGAGGTTCCTTGCCGTCAGCAGTTGATATTTTTGAGTTGGGTTTGGGACGGGTTGCTTCGAAATGCTGAAGGCGGTAATTGGCGCTTTCATTGAATAGGCGCGAATGGAACATGGGAGAGTAGGCGAGGAGGGGATTGGGGGATTGAGGGTCAATGAAGGATCTGGTCAGCATGCGCCATGCCTATTACAACAAAAGGATTAGCCAGGAGCTCCCAAAAACATGGACATAGCACAAACGCACAAATTCAGACCTGTCGACCATGGGAGCCAGGATCATTTTAGGGCTTCCTAGGCTCTCGTAGAACTCCCTACCGAGCAGTTTCTTGCGCGGCCGAGGAGTCATGTCGGCCTTGAAGCGGACAAGTGACCTGGCCCAAGAGGCGCCACTGAAGAAGCGGAACACTGCTATTTTGACAAAATATCGATTGATATTATGGGTTAGTTGCTTAGATAGAAAATTGCTAAGGGCTGCTATTCAAATGGAATCTTCATCATTGTTTGGTAACTTCATCCGTTGCCAGAAAATTATAACGGAGACGCAGGAACTTTAGTCCGACTGGTGGTACTAACTAAAGCTTAACCAACTAGTTTAACTAAGGCCAAGTACAACGCCAGATCTCATCTAGCGGTAAGCACGGGGGAAGATTGAAAAAAACCTTGACTAGAGGAATACATTACAGAAGAATCACACAATTACTGTGAGATTGTCTTGTACTTGACTAGTGAAGAAGTCAATGTCCATGTATTTATCAATGCATGATGATGAAGATGTTTAATCAGCTGAAAATAATGAAGAACGCTTTTCACAGAGTGAAAGTTCAAAGCATTATCTTCATCAGTGATGTTTGTGATAATATTTCACTTCCTGCATAACATCAATCGCATTTTATTGGAGAAGGGTATTTTGAAAGATATCCACTTTTTCTGACAAATCTAGATTATAACACTTAGAACTGTAAAGCACTATGAGATGTTCTGATTTTTGCATATAAAGAAAATCAGCAACTTTTCTTACTCAATGTTTTCTAAGTTCATAAATCATATATGTAGTGTAAATGATGATCTGAAAGCTCAATATTTCTGAATTACAAGTTTATAAAATATAATTTATTTTTTTTAAATTCCAATACAGTTTAAATATTATTAAATATTTAATTTATGAATTAATATCTTAATTTAATTATTATTATTATTATTATAAGTATATACTCAAAAACTATAATATTTAATTAAACTAAAATTTGTATATTTAATTTATAAGTATAAATTAACATATATAATTTTTGAATTTTATTTTAAAATAAAGTAATATTAAATAGACAAATAGTAAAAATAATAAAACTAATAAAAATTTTAAAATAATTAAAAAATATCAAAAATAAAAAAATAATAGTTTAAATATAATAATAATAAATTAATAAAAATATAAAAATAAAATAATATTTAAATTTAATATCTATTATATATTTTAAATAAAATTTTATTTGAGATTAAAATTTATTTTTTAGATATAATTTTTATTTTTTTTTAACTTAGTATTAAAAAGAAAAAATATATTTAATTAACTAATAAGTATTTTTTTTAAGTTTTTTTATATACTTTTATTTAAAGAACAAGTTTAATAAAATATAATTTAAACTTTTAACTAAATTATAAAAATCATAAAAAAATTCTCAAGTGAGTGAAATATTCAAATAAGTAGATTATTAATTCACAAATATCTTCTTATTAACTATTTATTTATGTTTAATATGTAATTATGCTATCAATTCATAATAAAACATTTTGAATTCTTTTAAAAGAGAGAAAAGGCTTAAACTTATAATAAATACTTTAAAAAAGTAAGAAATCTTCTTAATCTGTGAAGTTGCACATGTATTTGATATGTTATTATCTACTCTAAGTTATCAACTCAATGGTTGAACTGCTCACATGAATCTATATGCAAATTTAATTAAATTAACCCAGGCTGAAGAGAATAGACTAGTTGAATAAGTGCTGAATCAAACTAAACAAAAATTTTCTCCACAGCTAGTATTTTTTGAGAATACAATTAATTATCTTCTTACTATACAAATTTTCATCATCTCTATCACTTCCCTCCTCTGTGTTAGCGTGAACTAGATGTCAAATCTAGTGATATACTGTTCTGATCTTTAGGTCTATTACTTCTGATACTATAATTATGATCAGATTAAAATATAAAGACTATTCAGACTTGATTTAAGATCTTGAGAAATATAATTACTGAGTATAAGATTTTGTTAGAGAAGATATATAATATTAATAAGACTAACTTTGTAATGAGATTCTGTGCTACTACTTCTGTGCTACTACTAAAATTATTACTAGTAGTGAGTGCTACAGCTAGGCAAAGCTTCTACAGTTTAGAAATTGAGAATAAGTAACTGTAATTAAGTTAGTCAATTCATCAGAATGAGCTTTATCTCTATACATCATTCTCAAAGATCAAAACCTACAAGAAGACTAGTTTGAAAGTATATGACAATTTAGTTTTATAGCAAATACAGTTTGAAATCAATACTATTTTCAAGATTAATTTCTTAAAAGCTTATTGTCCAGTCTATATGAAAGCTTTTAAAGCTTAAAATATTCAAAATAACTTCAAGACTATTAAAATAGTGTTATTTCAGTTTGACTATATTATTTAGTAGCTGAATATTCAACTTTATACTTCAACATCATCATCTAGCATATCTAGTACATCATTCTGAGTTCCTCAAACATCTAGTAATCCCTAGTAGTTGCAGCAGCAAGTAGAAAAGATTAAAGAGCTTATAAAAAAAGAGTTTAGTGAAAGATTTTGATGAAATTATCAAGACTTATGAAAATAATATAATTAGTATGATTATTATAATGAAATAATATCAGAATATATTCAATACAAATAAAATAGAAGAGGAAAAGTAGAATAAATCTAGATATCAAATTCAACATATAGAAAATCTAACTAGAAATGAAGTTTAGAATTTTATTATTTCATTTGTTATATCTGTTGAATAAACAGTTATTTAATCTTATAAGTCTTAGTCATCTGAGACTGTATCATATTAATAAGCTTTATAATACTATATAATTATAATATTTTTAATCATATAAGAATAAGATATTCTCAATCTAGTATAATTTAATTTAGTTAAATATTATAATATTAAGATATTTTGATTTAAAAATTAGTTAATTGAAATATATTAATTTAATGATTTATTTATTTAAAAATTATATTATTTATCTAAGTTTATAAAATCTTTAAATTTTAATATATAAATTTTAAAATAATCATATTTAAGTTTTAATTATATTATAGAAGAAAAAATATTTTATATTATATTAAAATTTTTACTTTGATTTTATTTTATATATAAATTAATTTTTTTTCTTTTTTTTTTAAAAAACTTTATTTAATATAATAAATTTTTAATTATTTTTTTAATATAAAATTAAAAAAAATATTTTAATTTAGAATTAAATTTTAAATCTTAATGTCAATATTTACTATTAAATCTATCTCATAATTTTCTAATATATTTATATCTATATATATAAGTAGATAATTAATTAGAATTTAAATATTTTATATTTTAATTTATTACTTTAAATCAATTCAATATTTATTTGATTATATTAAACTTTATTTTATTAAAATTATTTCAATGCTATTTTACTATTTAAAAATATTTAAATATTTTTAAATAATAATATTATTAACTAATATAAAAGTCTATTAGATTGTAAATAACTTAGTATTAAAATTTCATTTTTTACTTATATATTTTGAGAGTATAATTTATATTTAAAGTTTATTTGAAAATATATCAGAGCTAGAAAAGCTATAATAGTGCATGATAACTAAGCTATAAAAACTAACATTATTTGAAAAGAGTAATAGTATCTGTCTAGCAATAACATAGTAATTAATAATAAAAAGAAATATATAAAAATATCACTTCTCAGATCTTTTTTTTATAAATTATCTTAATATTTATTGAATTAGTTTAATTTATATTGAAGTTATAATACTAAATATTATTGATTATTTTTTAAATTATTTAAATATATCAATAATAAAAATTTTTTTATTAAATTTTTTATAGCTTTTGAATCTTCAGATCAACTAAAGATTTAATGAAATTATTATTTAAATCTTAACTAAATTTATTAAGACTGATTAAAAAATTAATTAAATTTTAACTTAATGAAATATCTTTTAAATATATATATAATTTTAACTTATATCTATTCTCAGCTATACTAAGATAGTTCTAATCTTAAGTCTATATCTATAGATATTAAATGCAAAGACTTTAAATCATGTACTTTTTACTTTTAATAAATATTTTTTCTATGATATTTAGCTAATTTAAATATGAGTGATATGAGAAAATTCTTAATAAGAGTAAAAGAAAATTATAAATAATAGAGTTTTTATATAAAATAAAGTATGAATTTTCTTAATAATGAGTAGATAAAATTTTTTAATGATTAATACTATTCTTTAATACTTTATCTTTATTTAATTTTTATATTATTTAAATTAAGTATTATATATTGAAAATAAAAAACTTTGATGATTTTCTTTTTTTTGAATATAAAAATATTTTTCTCAATTATACTTTTAATTTTTATTTAAATTTCATGAAATTAAACATTAAATAAATTTAATAAAAGTTTTTAAAATAGTATTATCTTAATAGCAAGTAGTTGATTAAATATAAATTTTAAATTTAATATAAATATTTAAATTATATTAAATAGTTAATATATTTATTATAATAATTTTAATATATTAACTTTTATTATAAGTTTAGCTTTAATAAAATAAGTTATAATAAAATTTATATATATTTAATAATTTTTAATATTTAACTAAATATTATAGAAATGAAAAATAATAATAATAATTAATAAAGTTTATAAATCTTTTTTGAAAATTATTATATATTAATTTTTATTTATTTTTAATGTAAGATTATAATTTAAATCAATCAATTACAATTATTAAAAGTAATTAAATTAATAATAAATTTAATTATAGAAACTAATTAGTTATTTAATAGTTAAATGTATAAATCTTCTGCAATAAAAAGTTATAATCAGTTAACTTAATTTGTTGTTACGGTGCTGTCATTGATAATATGAAATAAGATTGATCTGTTTCAACCTCAATCATATTCAGTTGCTTAGATTGATCCACTTCAATTCTTAACCATCTATATATATTCAGCTGCTCATCTCATTTCTATATTCTAATGCTTAGTTTAGTATTCTCATCACAGCTACCTAGTAGATAGATGAATTGAGCTTTTATCTTGTATATCATCATGCCTCTAGACTAAGTCATGATAAATTAAACTTTTCATTAATTAATTGATATTTAATAAAATAACTAACTAGATAACTAAGAATAAAAATTATATAATAACTATTTATAATTTAATTAGTTAATATAATTTTTTTATAAATTAATTAATTTTATTATTATATATTATATTTTAACTTTTATATTTAGTATAGTTGTTAAATATAAGTTATTTTATTTTATTATAATGATATATAGAGTATATGTTAAATTAAATATAAAATATTAATTATAACATATTTTATAACTATTCAGACTAAATTTCTTAAAATATTAATTATTATAAATAAGTTTTAAGCTAATTATAAACTTTATCTCATTTAATTTAGAAAAGTTTTCTCTTATAAACTTAGTTTTATATATATTTTTTAGAACTAATTTATAAATATATAAACTTTAAAGATATAAAAATCTCTTTTGTGATATTATTTAAAGTAACTAATAAAATATGAAAATTAAGTAATTTCTTCAATAATGTATGCAGATCTTATTTACACTCATTTATTAAACAATTAAGCATTTAATAAAAGCTATGTTAACTAGTACTATGAATTGAAAATACTTAATTACACATTGTCAATTTCCAAAAAAAGTAAAAGAGAAGTAAAAATGAAATTCATTCTTATTATTAAGAAAACAGTCTTAACAGACACTGAAGACATTTTACAAGCTCAGAGTATATCAAGCTTTTCTCTAAAAGTGATAAATTGAGTAAGCTGCAGTTAAAAAGCAGTAACCTTCATAGAGATGTAGTGAGTGTAAAGAAGAGAATCATACAATTCGAATTACTCATTGAAAGAAAGAGAGTAATCACACTAATTAGTATATATTGCTTATTTAGTGTTGTTATTTAATAAATTTGTTCAGGTCTTCAAATTCAGTGTTCCCAGCAGGAGGCGTGTCCAGGGATGAATTACATTAGTTAACTAACTAGTTAGTTGCCTCTCTCCATACAGAGTACACAATCTGATTTTCCTACGGGAAGAGTTTAAAAAAACCCTCCGTAGTCCCTCTTGAATAAGAAAGAGATTTCTCATCCAGGAACTTTGGTAAAACAGAATATTCATTGTCAAAGGGGCCGTATATAAGTTGACAAAGATCTGTATTTTGATTTTACCAGACAATCCGGGGAGGAGGTTCTCAAGATACATATATGTACACGAAGGAGATGGCGTAATCGCCCCAGCCGTTATGCATGGAAGATTCGTGTTTCAACAGGGGATTGAGGAGGAGACAGTCTATTTATCCAATGAAAACCACCGTGCAGGCTGCATTTTAGTTATTGAATCGAGACATAACAAGCCCAAGTATGCAGAGCGTGGCTTGCTTGTCGTCAAAGTAGCTAGTGATAGTGGCTGAGCACCTGGCCTCTTTCGATGGACTTTTTATTTTATTTTAATTTTATTTATTTTATTTTTTTAATTTTAATTTTCTTTTTATCTCTGCCGCTGAATACTGTAGGGGTTCGCAATTGGTTAGCTAGTTACAGCAACTGAGAGGGAAAACGAAATTTAATATCATTATTACTGATAATAGCCTTCCTGGAGACAGATGCGCTCCGGAATTACTTTTGATCCTAATAAGTCCATACTTCGGTACGTCAATCCTTCCGATAAGTGCTAAATATAGCACAATATCAGATATCAAATGGGGCGGATCCAGATACGAAGCAGTGGTGATTTCGGATGCGCACGGAAGTAAATTTGACGGAAGGCAGAATTCTTTCTTCTTCGGAGGGGATTTTCTCGCGGGGTAAGTTGTTATTCTACCCTTCCAATGTTGATTGGTATGAGGTATAGTTAAGGTTGAATGGAAATGGTATTGGATTTTGTAACTGGGCTCTTCGAGAACCACAATCTTCCATTTGGCGCATATTTGTATGTGAGATCTGAGGTAAGCTTGATAAAGTGATCATTGACGGCTCCAGATGGAAACGGGGGGATTCCTGAATGTGAAAAGAGTTCTATGCTATCCATTTCCTTCGTATATTAATTGAGTCAGGATGGTGGAACAAGTCACTTTTCACTTTGGCGTATAGCAACCTAGCCCGGCACCAGCAACTAGAAGCCGGAAGTTTGAAGATGTTACGAACGGAGTGATACTCACCATTCCCAAAGAGACGAATATTTGACAACTTTGGGATCTTGGAATGAAACTAGGTTCTGTCTGGTTTGAAATATTCTATTTTAATTGACCACTCAGAAATCACCACACTCACTAGAGCTTCTAGAAGTAGCTCTACTCCATTCCGTTCTCTGCTCCAATTGGCTCAAAGCCCGAACGGCCAACAGAGTTAACTCTCTGATGGGGGCACATTCGACAATTTGATGAAAAATCATGTTAACATTGGGGAAATTGGACTATCTCACTGCTTAAGAGAAATACAGTGTGTTAATTGGTATGCATATATCTTTATCATGGACTTCGGGGTGTTAATTAATTAAGCCCCGCCAAGTCCCAACGCCAAGTCCAATGCAAGGGAGGACGCGTGGCCCCATAGCTGACTAAAAAACCCCCCCCCCTTCCGTCCAACTCCGAGAGAGAGCCTGTCTCATTCCATCAGCAGCAGTTCAACAGTTTGATCATCAATCATCAAACACATCAACAACATCAACAACCAGCTTCAATATCGCCCTTTTTTGCCATCCTTCCCTCCGGGCCAACCTTTCTCCCTCCCCCTTCCCGCCTCTCCAGGCAACTTCTTTATCCCCAACTATACGCTCTCCTGAAAATATTGCTTGCTTCACTCAGCTTTTCTCCCATCCGACTCCTGAGCGATAAGATACTCGAGACTCGGTATTCCCGCTCAAAAACCGTCTCCAACATTCTACCCCTTCTGTCTGGTATTGCATGCTGAACCTGAGCTAAGACTTTCTTACGAATACCCCTCCCCTCGCTATGGCCACAACGGGGGAACTGCCACTTCCCTCATCGCACTCTCCCTTGTCTCATATCAACAGCTGTATAGATCCAAATGACATCGACTCCTTTATCAACTATGACCAGCCAATCTATCCATCGCCATCACTTTCACCCGCATCTTCAAGGGCGAAGACCACAGTGAACCCTATTCCAGCATCAACTCCTGTGACAAGTTCGTCACTCAGTGTTCCCAGCTTCTCATCCAACTCCCAGTCCTCTCAGGTCTTGTTCTCGGGACCCAGCCATGAATATGACTCCTACAAACAGCAGACTGGTTTACCACCCGGAGGACTGGCCAATACTATTGCAATTAACCGAAATGTTGGCATGGATTTAGGCTTTGGAAGCCACAATTTCGCGCTGCCTACAGATTCCTTCATGAGCCCCAACCAAGATATGCTTAACTACTGCTCGACACCACTACCAACTGTATCATTCAGGAATATGGGAGATGTCGACTTGGATCCCGATACTCCAAATGACTTATTTCCGTCACCGCAGTTTACCAACAAAACCCAATTTATTGATCCCAATGCCCTTGGTGGCCATGAATTGTCAGGAATTGGGCAGCCGAACCAAGTGGGGCGCATGTATCCTGGAATGCATCAACAGCAAGCTGCTTTGGCAAAGGCTGCACAGCAGCAGAGGCAGCGGGAGATTATCCGTCAGCAACAGCAGCAGCAGCAGCAGCAACCAACCCGTCCGGCCGCAAAGCCCCAAAACAAAAATCGCTCCCCTGATCCCCTTGTTGAAGAACGCATTTCTCGACTGCTGCACCAGATGAGACAGAGTAGCGTTGCTTCAGTCGCAAAAGAAGAGGAACCCAAACCACAAAGTGTGCCGCATATCTCCAAACAGAAGAAGGATGAAGATGAAATGGATGAGGACGAGCGACTTTTGGCTAGTGAGGAGGGCAAGAAACTTAGCAGTAAGGAGCGTCGTCAACTGCGGAACAAGGTTTCTGCTCGTGCCTTCAGGTCCAGGCGCAAAGGTAATATCCTCTTTAACATATTTTACCCCAGCCCTATAAATGACTATATGTAACTGACAAATCTGAAAATAGAATATATTGGACAATTAGAAGGAGAGGTAGCTTCCAAGACCAACGAGGCTAACGATCTTCGACTTCAGAACCGCGCTTTGCTGGAGGAAAATGCCCGACTCATGGATCTCACACGCATGCTTCTTTCATCGCCGCATTTTGCCTCTTTCCTAAACGATATGCCCATAGATGGCCCACCCCCTCCCCAAGCGAACCAACAGTCGACTATGCAACAGCCACGTCAGCAAACACAGCCGCCAAAGGACCCAAACCCATCTCAGGCGCCCGCAGACATCCAAATGCAGAATCACCAAGTTGGCATTGCTATGATTCCAGAGCACACGGTTGATTTTTCATCGATGGACATGAATACACCCGGCTGGAACACAGGCATCGACTTGAGCTTCAACAACCCCCCCGTCTTTGCGGTGTTGAATGTCCCAGAAGGACCGGATCTTGACAGCGCAATTCTCTCCGGCAAATCATCCAACTCCGTTGGTCCCATCTCCTCTGATGAGATAAAAGATATGATGCCCTTATTCGAAAGACCCCCAGTCGCTGAGCTGCCCGAGGAAAAGGAATTCATTGAACCTTCGATTAAGGTGGAAGTCGACGAATCTGACCCGTCTCTAGCACTGTTCTTCGACCAACCAAGTGGTTCCACATTGACGATTCCAACATTCGAAGATACGTTTGTTGGTATTACGCCGGAAAAATTGTTTGCTCGGATCGATCTTGTGGTTGACGATGGTGACTTCATTTCAGATACGCGAGATGATTCTACAGGCGTCAGTGCTGCTACTATGCTACGGTTTGAGCAATTGTGCTCAAGCATAGAAGGTGCCTATCAACGTGTCTCCCTGATTACTGCTCACTTCGACGATTCTACATAGTGTTTGAAGGTATATGTGTTCCCTTTTGGCACCATGATCGACGATGGAACTGCCAACACTTGACTCTTCCCTTCTTATCTTCAGTCCACCTTGCGACCCTGGTTGGTTTCCTTATGGCTATATTTTTTATTATTTGCTGTTACCCCTTTAGCGAGTTTTCATATCTAAGAGGCACTCAAATCTCAACTTTGCCGTCCAGTCCTCAATTATTGCCCTCTATTTTCCAATACAGAATGAATGTGCGAAGTGGCAGCCGCTAGACTAGTTAGGCTTTTGGCTTATAAAACCGGACCACATTACCCGTTCCTTGTTTGTTTACTTGTGTTTTTGCCCCATTTTGAGGGCCTGGAAGGAGTTTCAGTTCAATTTCAACGGTTGGAATTTTCTGTCTCTTTCCCTCTCTCCGCGCAATATATGCAGTCCTCTTCTGCCAGCCTTTCTATCTGAAATCCGCCATCCTGCCCATATCGTGTCTCTGGCTTCTTTCCATGTTCATTTCTTACCTTGCTGGCACACTTCCGTCGTTTATATTTTCCTATGTTATTTTGTGTTACTAACTTTCCTCCCCTTAACACCTTAACAACATATATATATTTAAATTAAAGTGAATATTTTAATCTTAATAAACTTGTTCTGTTTTAGAATCGTTTTCTATGATTGATTTTGTTATTGAAGATATCACACGAGCATAGCTGATTGCTCCGGTGCCTGGAGTGATTAGTCATTGATTAGTCACAACCTAACCACCCCAGATTAAAAAAAAAGTTAAGAATTAGACAACGATGGCGATGTTGGATAAATACTCCGTTACAGTTGGACTCTTTCTTCTACTTTCACTTGTTTATAGACAGACCACTTTTTGAATTTCGTTTTCTGCTCCTTCTTATGTTTTCCTACTAGTAAATGACTGTAATTCTCTTCTCCTTTCAGCTGGTCGACACCTGTCGACCTGAAAGACAAAGGCTGGCAAATTGGCGTCCCTCCGCGCTGCCCGAACGCTTCTGACGAATGCAATTCGCAGATCGTCCCTGAATCCAGTGTCTCCACATCACACCCTCCACCCTTTGAAGTCGCCGTCGCCTTTCTTCATTCTCTTAAGACCCAGCCAATGCAATACCTTATCCGGGTTTCGCACAACACCCAACCAGCTTCCTTTCAGGACGAGTCACTTTAAAAGAGACGTAGACCTCGATCAACCTTTGTTCCTTGCCCCGGCGCTTGATGCAAAGATATCTGGCGGCATCCATAGAAAGAGATATTTGTTTCTCAATCTCGAGAACGTGTCCCGCTATCCCTACGACTCGTACGAACTGTCGCCCGTTGGATGTCACCCGATGAAGTTCTACTTCGAGTTCATCACGACCCCGACCGCGGACACGCCTGGCACCACCATCCTCCTCCACTTCGATGACAAGAGGTATTTGTTTGGGCATGTCCCCGAGGGTTTGCAGCGGGCGTGTTCGCATCGGGGTGTGAAACTTACACATGTTACGGATATTTTCATGTCTGGGAAGACCTCGTGGACCAATAATGGAGGGTTGCTAGGCGTCATCCTGACTGTTGCGGAATCGACAAGTACCTCTGCATGGTCGCAGGCGGAAGTCCACAAGACAAGAGTGGATAGGCTGGAGAAATTGGCCGAGGAAGCTGAGGATCCCGTTCAGGCCCAGTGGTATAGAGAGCGGCTTGAGCTGAATCTGAAGAAGAACAAAAGACTCGCACAGGATTTTGAGAAGGGCAAATTGGCTATACATGGAGGGCCTAATTTGACACATGCTGTGGCTACGGCGAGGAAATTCATTTTTAGAACTGGTATGCCAGTGTTTATTCATGAGTTTAATGAATTTATGGGACTTGCGGAAAATGGAGAGGTCGAGACGAAGAAAGCTGTAGCAGACCCGACGTGGTCTGACTCACATCTCAAAATATGGGCATTGTCGATATCACCGTCATCGCTTCCCGAGTCTCCTTCTAGCTCTGCGGGAAGTACGAAAAGTGGCCGCAAGCGAAATTTGAATGAGTTCCAGGGGGGTGCGGCTGGTGCAGAAGACACTTCAGAGAGTGAGGATGGTATCCTTTCACGCGCTCAGGACCAAATAACCCGCCAGGCTGTTGTGTCAGATATGTTCAACTCGGACTGGCGTCTGGACTCTCTTGTCGAAATGCCGCTAAGTGAAGTTCGCATGCCTGCTAGAATCTTTGTGCGCAACTCAGAAAATCATAAGATTGAATCTTACACTGGACCTAAGCCTGGTGGGACAGAGGAGCTCCCTGACTTAAACGTCCTGGTTCGCAGACCGTGGCCTGGTGCCATGATCCAATCCCTACCCCCAACAACTCCATCAGATATCTCGATTTCATACATTATTCAGCATCATGATGTCCGAGGGAAGTTTAATGCGGAGAAAGCGATAGCATTGGGGGTGCCACGGGGTCCTAAGTTTAGCAAATTGACTATGGGACACAGTGTGGAGTCTACGGATGGCAAGACAATCACTCCCGAGATGGTTCTTGGTGAACCTCAACCAGGTGGAGGAATTGCTCTTATGGATCTACCCACGGCCGACTATGTTGAAAATCTTCTCAACAGGCCTGAGTGGACGACACCTGAGATTATGAGAGGGTTTACAACGTTTATATGGGTCCTTGGACCCGGCGTTGGTGGGCATCCGCTAATTCAAAAGTTCGTGTCTAAAATGTCACAGTACAAGCATATCGTCTCTTCTCCGGATTTCTGTCCGAACTACCTCGCTTTCCCCTATAGTTCCATGGAGACTAGCCAATTCTCAGTCCTCGATAGTGCTCGCTACAGCGTTCCACACCATGATAATGTTGTCCTTCCGCAGAAGACGTTTCTTACATCCTCAGCGGTGCCAACTCCTGCAGCTGATGCTCTGAAATCGGCATTCGAGCCTGCAGTACCTGGCTTACAGCTCGAATTGCAACCTAAATTTGTCATCAAGAGGGATAATGTTCAGAAACCCCTTAACGCGGATGTCATCAAGAATGACATCCCTCCCCGGGTCATCGAGACAGCACACCAGGCAGAACATGAAATTGAGGGTCATGAATTCCAACAAATTTTAGCAGATGTTCGACGGAACCTACCAGGTCAAGATGCGGAGATTATTACTTTAGGAACAGGTTCTTCAGTGCCGTCGAAGTATCGAAGTGTTTCTGGGACGTTGCTTACGGTTCCTAGTGTTGGAAACTATTTGTTTGATTGTGGTGAAAACACGCTTGGCCAGCTGCAGCGCGTCTTCTCGCCCCAGGAGTTAAGAAAGGTTTTGCAAGATTTGAAAGTGATATGGATTAGCCACTTACACGCCGACCACCATTTGGGAACCGTGTCAGTTATTCGCGCCTGGTACAAGGTCGTCTATGGTACTTTGTCATCAGCATCCTCACCCTCACCAGAGCAGGATCTCACAAAAATCTTAAGCGAGAAGAGACTGTTCGTCGTCTCCCACGCGAAAATGATCGAATGGCTCGCCGAGTATGCTGGTGTCGAGAACTTTGGCTTTGACAAAATTACTCCCCTTGAAGTAGATTCCTCTGCCGCAGATAGCTTTAGATTTAGCCACCTCGACCAAAACAGCCGACCTATACTCAACGAACGCGGGAATCCCATGAAAACTCTCCTCTCATTTAATCCGGACCAGTCTCCGTTAGCCGCTCAACTCCAAGCTGCCACAGGGCTCAGTACCCTCCTCACTACCCCAGTCATGCATTGCAACGGTTCCAAAGCAACCTCATTCGTTTTCCCATCCGGCCTCAAAGTCTCCTACTCAGGTGACTGCCGCCCATCCCGGAACTTTGCCAAAATTGGCAAGGACTCCACCGTGCTGATCCATGAGGCAACTTTCGAAGATGACATGTATCAAGACGCCCGCGCTAAACGGCACAGCACCAGCGGCGAGGCGCTACAGATTGCCAAACTTATGCGTGCCAAAAATATTGTTCTCACCCATTTCAGTCAACGGTATACTCACAAACCAACCATTCCCCGCCTGCAGATCTGGGCCTCCAGTTCCGGCTCCCGCTCCGCCTCTCGCTCCCCCCGATCTTGCTCCAATTCTCCAAACCGCCCCACGTCTCCTGGAGCAGCCATGAAGAGGAACTCGTCGCGAGGCTATAACACGCCCGACGTCCCCATTTCTAGAAACGAACATGATAATGACGATTATGAATCCGAGACATCAGTGCGAGCTCCGCGCGGCACCAAATGTAATGCGACTCGGCGACGTACCCGTTCCCGTTGTCGTTGCTTTCGACCTGATGCGGCTCCGCATCGGTGATGTGTTTTGTGCACAGAGATATGTACCTGTTCTCAACCGGTATTATAAATATAAGGAGGCGGCTGAGCTGAGCAATGAGGGTGTGAACCAGAAGCGTTCGTCATCAGGCACAGGTGCAGGCGGAAAGGAAAAACGAAATGACCAAGGGAAGAGGGATATGAAGAGCAAAAAGGATTGGAGAGGTGGGAAGGGAGGAAAGAGAGATGATCAGCGTGGGCGTCTGCGTGATTCTGGCCCTGGTCCAAATCCTGGTTCCGGGTCCGGTTATGCTTCTAGTTTTGGTTATTTTGGAGGGCATGCAGGTGGCCAGAAAGCCGCGGGGGGCATGGGAGGCTAGGTTTTTCTAAATCGTGTTTGATGATAAATGGTCAGCAGATGGATGTGAAACTTTTAGATTATTCTTTTTGAGCGTGTTTCCTAGCCTTTTTTACCCGCTTTTCAATTACCTTCATTACCTTTTCTCTTATTATATTGAGTTGCTTTTGAATTCGTAACATATGTGTGTTACTGCACTACCAATGTCCTCTTGTCTAGCCAGCAACAGTATTCATAGAAAATCGATTTGTTTGCATAAAATGTCAATTTATTAATATCTCTTCTTTGGATGCCCTCTGGAATATTCAAAATAGAGATATGCTTTCAAGTATGATGATGAAGATTGCAAAGATACTTTATAACTACATACAATTGTGGTCCGAGTGCGGGTTTTCCAAGTGCATATTCCCCGTCAACTACCCCCGTCATCTACCATAAGCTGTTTTGTTACTTCCAGATATCCAGCAATGCCAAAGTTGTATTCCTCAGCTCTCATGAACGGCAACTCAACTGCGCTGTCATTGACGATGGAAAGGGTTGATTCAATCCATCATTGCCTTTCATCAAATGGCTCCTATATAGGATGTAATAGGCGGATAACACTGGATGAGATATGCCAAAAAAGGCATAAAAATTAAAAGACAAGACTTTCTTAGCTGTCATCCACCGCTTTTTGCCTACCGTAATTAGGGCCATTGACCCAGATAAGCGGGACAACACCCTCAGGTGTCCTTTGTGTTCCTCGTTGTCTCCACATCTGTTATCTCCATTTACATCCAGCCTAGAACCCCTTCCATTCAAGCTATTCTCAAAGCACTTCTCTTCCGAACTCCTGCACTAGCAAATGCCCAACTAAACTGGCTATCGCACATGGTGAAAAAGTTCCATTCAAGCAACAGCATCTTGACTTATGAGAACTGTATCCTTCGAAATGACGGTAAGATAACTACACGACTCGTTGGAGGATGGTATCCTGATTCAAATGGAACAGACAGAAAGTGCCAAACCCGCCATGGCCCTGCCGCTCCGAAGAAAGGGAATAAAAAAGTCCACCGAGCCAACTCGTAAACCCCACAAACGACGTCATGCACATGAAGCCAGGATTGGTGGACGACATCTGAAGGAGATCAAGTGTGCACAGCGAACAGATGAAGCCACGAAAGATATGAGGGATGAGCTTGAATATCGGTTCTATGAATTGGAGCATAACCGGCAGATTAAATTCTTGGAATGTCTTCGTTTTTCCCTTTGCACGGCTTGTGTGAGTAGTATCATCCAGGGGAGCGTGAATAGCAGTAACTGACATAAGTTTTTGAAACCAAGGACTACTATGAATGGGTCAAGATGGGAGTGGTATGGGTCCATTTCGAAAACTTGCCTGGAAAGGCCGTTAAGGCCCTTTTCCACTTTCTGAGAAAAAAGAAGCTGATGGATTCTGAGCCTGGAGCCGCGGATGAAGAGACAAGGAGGCAAATCAGGAAACGCAACGCAGAGACCAGGAGATATATGGTGCAATTGAAGGAGAAAGTGAAGAGTGGACAGGTTGACAGTGGAAGTTTGTAGGGGGGAAGTGGAAAGGATTGAGGCAATCAGGGCATACACATCAGGGCCAGGTAAACGCAAAGGGGGGCCGAAGGGAAAATTAGGGTGACAAAGGCCAGCCCTGGAGGAATTTGTTAGAGCTGAGATGGAGCAAAAAGCAGTGGGTAGCACTAAAAAATCTGAACGACACAGTGTACGGAGTAATTCTGTTCTGTTCAATTTTCCAGTGAATCACCTTCCTGCCGAACCCCTAGCAATTTCTGACCTCCAATGGAGACCTGTTATGTGATCTTCTAGTTGCTGGGAAGATGAAAATACAACGGCTCATCTGTTCCTCATCCCCGAAATGAAAAAGCTGGCAAAACAAGACCTTGGCCCTTATGATTGTTATACATACATTTGACAGGCCGCCAATTGCAAACACTTCAGGTAAATGTGCCGGCTATCCCATAGTTAGTTAAGAGACAAGACTTATTCAGCCAAGAATTCGTGTACGTTGTGGGGACATTGGTCCTAAGAAGGCCTTGAATGTTTTTCAAGAGCAGAACAGCAACCAAGACAATGTTGACCAGCCATCAGAGCCAACCATTGGTGACGGAAATGGCGCTGGAAGAGCCTGGGAGGCAGAGTGGCCAGTGTGTGTCCCTGGATCCACAACAAACATAAGTCTAAGGGGCTTCCTGCAACATGGATTTCTGTGAACCAGACTCCAGACATGTATGAGTATGTGAAGGTGTTCCTTCGAATAAACAAAAAACAAAAACTGGATCAGATAAATCATGACATGGTTTATCCAAAATATAGAAATATTTATGAATGGATTGGTCTAGCACCGGAACGTGCTCCATTCTCACCGTACTCCTAATGATGAGTTTAGGGGTCTGTTTTCTGAAGAGTCTAACATGTATAGTTTCCAGCACAATATGAACTGGTGGTAACTGGTGTTGAACAGAAAAGACCAATGAAAAATAAAAAGTGAACAGAGAGGGGAGAGCGGCTCTGAGATAATTAGGGAAGCTCAACAGGCAGAGGATGAACACTCAGCAAGACCAAATCCAGGCACTCAGAATGGGGCCCTTCGAATAACTATCGGGTGGAGGAGTGGGACAGTGTAGTTAAAAGCCAAGGAAAGCGGAGAGGCAGTTCAAATGAATCCTGATTTACATCAGAATAACAACTGATAGAGTAAATGTTCTGAGAAATTGACACCATCCACCATCAAATATTGCAGATGATGTTGAGGTAGATGTTGAAGTGCTGAAGTGCGTGCTGAAGTGAACTTGCATCAACAACCCCTTTTTCAGCTCCAGCTTTTCCCGTTTTGGGACAAACTCAAACCTTGACCCTAGGAATGCAATGATTCATAAATAAATACACCCACCATCAATGAACATAATATCAATCTTCTGATGCGTGTCTGACTGAAACCGGCATTAATCACAATGGCTTTCAAACCAGTGGAAATTTTTCATTAAACATAGTACACTACAGGTTTGTTGAAGAACAGATTAGGAGTAGATCAAATGAATATTAATTATTGTATCCCTGATTATTTTCTCTCTTCATTTTGTCATGTTAAACTGGATTAAACGCTTTTTGCTTTTCCAATATTCCAAAATCTAAATAGGTGTTGGCGGAAAACGGGTAAAACAGGGGCAGAAAGAGTAAGGTTAAATAATTAATAACTGATAAAATCATTTCCAGAATGTACATCCATACACATACAACGCGCAACTTCCCCATATGTATACTACCGCAACAAAATCCAATCGAAAATTATAGAGTTAAGACCTACTTACTGCTCACAAGCGTCTCCGATCCAGGCAGACAGGGTCTCTCTCAATAACCAGACGGCTCATCTCCCTTCGCGAACATCCCCTCGTCCAAGTTCTTTCCACACTCCTCATGCCAATGGATCGGTGTGAATTTATCCGCAATCTTCTTGAACGCTTCAAGTGTGCAGAACGTGTCGTTGCCAGGTAGGTGGTTGCGCGGATTCGCTGCGCAGCCGGGGATACGCACGGGTTGGTCATTGTAACGGAGGCGCACATAGTGTTTCTGCAGAGGGGAGGAGGGGAGGTCGGATACTGCGGCGCGTACATTTTCGGAAACCTGTGTTACCTCGCGCGATGGCGACTTGCTGCCAAAAAAGTTCGACATAAAACCGGAGGGATTCTTTTTCTGGGGTAGGTTTTCTGTGTCTGGGATGTTCAGCTCCTCGAGGATATAGCCTGGTTTTGTAGCGTTGGGGGCGCTGACAGCTTTGAAGAGCTCAATTGAAATGGATGATGTATAAGGGGGCCACTTTTCATCGTCAAATGCTCCTAAGCTATTCAAGATTGCGGCGATGGTGGTATCGTGGCAGCCGCTTAGGGCAAATTTGACTGCAGCCTTGGATTCACTTCCATTTGTGGTTGGGCGCCAGCCACCATGGACGGAGGTATGGACCATGCGATCAACCACATCTCCAATAAGTGCACCGATACCTAGTTTGCGGTATTCGTTGCTCTCCTTGTATCCGGCAAACCATTCGTCCGTGGCGATCCTATCGGCTAATTCGCGGGCCTTTGGGTCGTAGAATTCGGAGGGGAGGCGGGTTCCGGGGCCGTGTGCTAGGGATGAATTGATGGTGTCCAGAATACCAGAGAGGCGAGGCCGGGAATCAACTGCAATTCGGGGAGAATTCGAAGGCATCCATTTAGACCACAAGGAATTCAGGTATTCCATTTCTTCGGACTCGTTCCCTAATATTAACCAAAGCCCCCAAAGGAGGGAGTTGCGTTAGTTATCAATCAATCCATCTAAAAAATAAAAAGTCTTGTGAACATTTTGAGTGCTTTGAGAGCACATATGACTTGGCGCGAATGTACATTTATTTGCTGCCCGTTGGGCAAAAAGGCGTGCCAGCTGCCTGAAACGGTGGCAATTGCTTTCGTTGGGATACAGGGTTTCTTCTGCGGGTGACCGGACCACTATGGTAGGGGGAGGGAAGTTTGCGGTTCGAGAGTCGGGAGGGTACATTCCCCAGAAGGTTTGCTGCAGCGACTCGAGAGCTCTGGGTATCGGGGTCGTACGAAGGTACATGTCATCGGTGTTCGACCTTACTTTCGGCATGAACCCTAGCTGGTCGACATACAGATATCGTAATCGCTGGCCCAGAGCGTAAGTGGACCGGCGCCCTTTATCCGTCAATTCTCCTGGAAAACTAATTTTCACAATATGAGTAAATGGGCTCTTCCTTTCAAACCTAGCATTGACAATTCCGCTTAAAATTAGAAGGCCGTGACTTGCCAAATGCCTTCAGTTTCTCCTTCTGGGCCGACGGCCACCACCGCCTGGTCCTTTCCTCCAAATCTCTCCATCTTTCTCCGCCATTTGAATTCACTCCAGCCGGATAGATCCTCGCTTGACGCAGCGATTTGTGTGAGCCTTCTTGCGGCATGGCAATATGGCCAGTCTGGTTGGAATATATCAGCGTAT